GCCGTCGGGCGCCGGATGCTGATCGCCCGCGAGCTTGCAAGGGGAGATCTGGTGCCGCTGTTCAAGCGTCAGGCCGAGGCGCCCGAGCGCTGTTGCCTGATCACCACCGCCGCCTCACGGCAGCGGCCCGAGGTGCAGGCGTTTCGACAGTGGATCCTGGAGGAGGCAGAGAACGGTGGCCGGAGAGCTTCGGACGGCTTGCCGCGCCACCCGCGAACCGGCGGCAGGCACCGCTTTCGGTCAACGTGAGGGCGGCTTCGAGAGCCAGGTGGCGATCCGGTCGGCATAGGTGAAGCGTGCCGGCCAGCCGCCGGTGGGGCTTGGCGTACAGCGCCACGAACGGCCTGATCCTGGATTTCAGGAAGCCGGTGGCGCGTTGCGGTGAGCGGGAGTGGCGCTACAAGGAGGCGGTCCATCGCCAATGCGGGCGCGGTGCGGTCGGCGCGCTTCCCGAAGTGGTTGGTTTAGGACGTGAAGGGGCAGCACCTCGAAGGCAAGGAATTCATCGCTGCAAGGGGAACCGTGAGCCGTCTCTTCACGGCTCACGTCTCAGCAAGCCCGTGGGCTGCGACCGAGCACGGGCTCCTGGGGCACCGGGACATGCCGGGAACGGAAAGCGCGTTGTTCACCCCAGTGCGCGGAGCGGGCGGAGCCGGCGGTTCGGAGGTGGAAGCCGGTCGAGCCGGCGGCTCCTGGCGCGCCAGTCCTGACCGCATCTGCCAAATGCAGCCTCGCGCACTGACGCACGTTTCGGGGACGTGCCTGCTCATCAGGTGTGACGCACACGATCAAAGGGATGTCTTGTTGGGCCGCCAGCCACGTCCTTCCTGAACGGGGCGACCTCCTCTTGAATGGCCAACCACGGCCTGTTTGACCAGCGCCACGTCATCACGCATGCGCAAGCCGACGGCAGATAGCCATTCCTTGAGCAGATTCATATCTTCCCTGAGCGCCCCGACATCCTGCTCAAGCCTGCCCAGGCGCTCGCTGGAACCGGCCTCCGCATCCCTCACTTGCCGCTCGATGCGCGCCTGCCCATCCAGCAATTGCGCCAGGCGATCACAGACCTCCGGGAGGCTCACGCCTTCATCCACCGACTTGCCCATCCGGCCCTCCTCCTGTACGCCAAGATCAGAGTCCCCTCCTGACGAGGCAACGGAACTTGCCCTTGCCACCACGTCAAGCCAGGCCGTCGCTCGCAATGCCAGTGCTGCCGCAACGGGAACCTCCACACCTCGCCACACAGGGAAACAGGCCGAAGGGGGTTGTACCCTTGGCATGGCGACACCATGGCCTCGCCAACGAAGCAAGCAGCCGCCAAGTCACCGGCAAGCAACTGGACGCACTATACACGAAAAAGAAAATCAACGATCCCTACCATATGGGAGATAGCGAGGCTAGGAAAGGCTACTGTGAAAAGGCGGGAAGAAGGGCGGGCGGTAGCGATGCGGGACGGGTACGCAGGAGATGCCCTAGCCGCGTTCAGTCAACAAGCTGTCCGCGCCGCGGCAAAGCGTCCATGGCCAGCACCAGCCGCACCAGGGCCACCTGACCCGACAGGCCGTGCTTCCGGTACACCTGCTTCAGCAGCCAGCGCACGTAGCCTTCCTGGTGGGCCGTCGCCAAGGCGATGTCGCGCACGCTGCGGCCCCCGGCCAACAGCGCCGCCACCCGGCCCTCCGCGGGCGTCAGGCCGAGCGTCACCGACACCCGGCGCGCACTGATGCGCGCACGGCCCGCCGGGTCCACTACCAGGACCAGGGCGGCGACGCGGCGGGCGCCCAAGTCCATCTGACGAACAGGCACCGGGCTGACGTGCACCACCAGATGCGGCAAGCCGGGCGAACGCCTCACCGTCATCGAGCCGCTACGGGGGGAGCCCTCGCCCCCAAACGCCGGCAGCGCGTGCGCCAGCAGCGCCGCCAGCCGGGCGTTGTTCGCCGCCAGCCGGGCGCGCAGCAATCCGCCCTCGTCGAACAACCCGTCGCCTTGCCGCAGCAGGCGGCGGGCGCGGGCGTTCGCCTCCATGATGCGACCGCCCCGCTCCAGGTGCACGACCCCGACCCGGGTGCTGTCGAGCAAGCCCGTGAGCGAAGACCCCAGGGCCTCGGCGGCGGCCAGTGCCTGGCGCACCTGCACGAACTGCCGGATGTGGGGGATGAGGCGCTCGATCGCCTGGAGTTGCGCCGATTGCCAGCCGCCCGCGGCAACAGGGTCGGCAGGCGCCCAGACGATGCGCAGGCCCTCCGGGCCGTCGAGGCGCACGTTCAGGCTGTTCTGGGCGCCGCCCCGGCGCAGCGCCTCGTTGTACGCCGGCGAGGCCTTCAGTTCCCGCTCGGTGTAGAGGTCGGTGACGTGCACTAGGCGACTGTCGGGCAGCTTGCGCAGGCGCGGCAGGCGTTCGTCCCACGGGTGGTAGACGTCGAAGTACAGACGCTCCAGGTCCTGGCGACGCTCGCCGCGCCGGTAGATGCCGGCGTGGAATACCTTGACGTCGGTGCCGAAGCCCTCGCCGACCGCCAAGTCATTGCCGGTCATGCCGCAGGCGTCGTCGATCAGGGTTGAGGTGGCGGGCCAGTGGGCGTCGTCAAGCATGGCTTGGTGCAACGACGCCAGGATGCCGTTGAAGGTGTCGAGTTGGCTCACGCGGTCTGGTCTCCTCCGGATGGGCCTGTGTTGTGTCGCCATTGCCGGTGCGCTGATGGCTGATGAGAGTAGGATAACGCCCTTGAGGGCGCGCGGCAAAGCAATACCTTGCCAGTACGCAGGCTCGCCGGCACTGACAGGCGTGGATGCCCGGTTCACGGCAGGATAAGATGACTGGGGCAGTCGCCGGTTACAGCCTGCCGGTGGGCAGCGTCCACAGCTTGGTAACCGCCGCCGCTTCGCTGATGGAGATGCAGGTTGCCGGGGGCTGGCAGTCGCCGGCCATGCCGGGGCGAGGCTGCGATACGGCATGAAGAGGTTACGCAACACCTCCTAACACATTCGGGCCCATTTTTATTCGTGTGTGCCAGGTTGAACACGGGTCATGTCTCCATAAGGTCTGCAACAGAGCCCGAAGGCTGCGGAGGAGCGCGCGACGTCAGGCGACTATTCGGCGAGTGTCAAGACAACGGGTCGGGTATCGGCCGGCGGTTCGGCCACGGTCAAGGTCGAGACGCACACGATTCCGCCATGCTGAACCGCCACGCGAGCTGCGCGGTTGAGGAAGTCACGTCCCCCATATATCCATCGGCACGTGTGGGGTATATTATTGTCCCCTTGCGCCATCGTACCCTTGTCAGTCGAAGACGGTGCCGGGCCGTTGCGGCCTTGCCGCAGAGCAAGCCAGGCATCTCCCGCCGGCTTGCGCCTGCGTCGGCGCTGCGCCTTGCAGGCAGATGGTTCGGCGGAGGCGATGCAGGAGCCCCAGACCCAGACCGGACGAGGCTGTTGCAAGGACTGTGGGATGTCGGATTACGCTGCGCTGATCCGACCTACGTTTTGAACCGAAAATGTTCGGTTTCTGGCACAATCCAAATACACACGAATTCTGGCCTTTTGGACAGAAATTCTGTGTTGTCACAAGCGGCGTGCAATACGGAAGGAACGCAATCCATGCAGGACGAACCCACCAGCTTACGTATCGAGGACCCGGGCATTCGGAGCCTGTTCTCGGAGGCGGCGCGCTACCAGGCGTGGCTGGACGTCGAAGCCGCCCTGGCGCAGGCGCAAGCGGAACTCGACATCATCCCGGCAGAAGCGGCGGCGGAGATCACCCGCAAGGCGAAACTTTCGTACCTCGACATGGACGCCGTCCGGGAGGGTCTGGCGCGCACCGGGCACCCCCTGGTGCCGCTGGTCTGGGAGCTGGACCGGGTATGCGACGGTGACGCCGGCGGCTACGTGCACTGGGGCGCAACGACGCAGAACATCACGCAGACCGGACAACTGCTGCTGGTGCGTCGGGCGCATACGATCTTCCTCACCCAAATCGCCGCCCTGCTCAACCTGCTGGCCGACCTCGCCGAGGAGACCAAGGACGCCCTGCTGCCGGGTCGAACGCATGGCCAGCACGCGGTTCCAGCGACTTTCGGCTACAAGGTGGCGGTATGGATCGACGAGTTGTGCCGCCACGTGGAACGCCTGCGCGGCTGCGAGGAGCGCGTCTTCGTCGCCATGTTGGGCGGCGGTGCCGGCACGCTGGCGTCGTTGGGCGAGCTGGGGCTGCCGACGCAGGCGTTGATGGCGCAGCGTCTTGGCATGACGCCCATGCCGGTGCCGTCGCGCACCTTGGGCGACCATCAGGCAGAGTACGTGAGCCTGCTCGGCCTGCTTGCTGCCACCTGCAGCAAAATCGGGCGGGAAATTTACACGCTCATGAAGCAGGAATTCGGCGAGGTGGAGGAGCCGGTACCGACGGGCACGGTGGGCAGCAGCACGATGCCGCAAAAACGCAATCCCAAGCTGGCGCAGGACGTCGTGGCGGCGGCGGCGCAGGTGCGCGCCCTGGTGCCGTTGGCGCTGGAGGCCATGCAGACCGAGCACGAGGCCGACCGCACGACCAGCGTCATGATGCAGCGCGCCATCAGCGAGGCGTGCGGCCTGACGGGCGATATCCTGCAACGGCTCATCGCGCTGTTCTCGGGCCTGCAGGTTTTTCCCGAACGCATGCGCCGCAACCTCGACCTGAGCGGCGGCCTGATCATGGCGGAGGCGCTGATGCTCGAACTCGGCCAGCAGATGGGCCGGCAGCGGGCGCACGACGTCATCTACGATCTGGCGCAGGCCGCGGTGACCGAGGAACAGTCATTTCAAGAATTGTTGGCCGCCGATCCTGCGGTCCGGGGTCACCTGAGCGACGAGCAGGTCGCCGCCCTGCTGGATCCGGGCCGCTACACCGGCATGTGCCGTCATTTCGCCGAGCAGGGCGCCATCCAGGCCCGCGAGACCGCGGCGGCAATCGGCCGTCGCACCATCACCGAACGACCCTCAATTTGATCAGGAGAAACCGAGTCATGGCCAGTCCCGAACTTACCGACCTCATTACCCTGCTGAAGTCCAGGCCCGTGGTGGAAAATCCACCGGTGGCCGACATGCGAAAGGGCTTCGACGTTCTGGCGTCCAAATTCCCCCTCACACCGGAATTCACCTTCACCCGCATCGACGCTGGCGGTGTGCCGGCCGCCTGGGTTGAAGCCCCCGGCGCCGACTCTGGGCGCACCCTGCTGTACCTGCACGGCGGCGGGTATGTCATCGGCTCCATCGACACGCACCGCGAATTGGCCGGTCGGCTGTCGCAGGCCGCCGCGGCGCGCGTGCTCATCATTGACTACCGACTCGCGCCCGAGTACCCGTACCCCGCTGCGGTCGAGGACGCGGCTGCAGCCTACCGCTGGATGTTGGCCAACGGTGCCGATCCGGCCCGTGCGGTCATTGCCGGCGATTCGGCGGGCGGCGGCCTGACGGTGGCCACCATGCTTGCCCTGCGCGAATCGGGCGATCCGCTGCCGGCCGCCGGCGTGTGCTTGTCCCCATGGGTGGACATGGAAGGCATCGGCGATTCCATGACCGGCAAGGCGGACGTTGATCCCATGGTGCGGCATGAGGGACTGGTGCGCATGGCGAGCCTTTACCTGAACGGCGCCGACCCGCGCACGCCGTTGGCGGCGCCCCTTTACGCCGACTTGAGCGGTCTGCCGCCATTGCTGATTCACGTCGGCACCGCCGAAACGCTGCTGGATGACGCCGTCCGCCTCGCCGACCGCGCCAAAGCGGCCGGCGTGGACGTCACCTTCGAGTCATGGGACGACATGATTCACGTCTGGCATATCTTCGCGCCGCTGCTCCCCGAAGGGCAGCAGGCCATCGAGCGGGTGGGCGCGTACGTGCGCCAGCGGGCGGCGTAGGCCGTTGTTGACAGGCCAACGGACGTTCACTAGCATGGGCGCCCTATCTGAACCTGCCGCAACATGGCGTGGAAGCGTATCGGTGCTGGTGTGCCGCCTGGACTTCAAATCCAGTGACCGGGGCTAATAACTTCGGAGGTGGGTTCGACTCCCACACGCTTCCGCCACTCTTCCTGATACCGCCGACACCACACGTGGCGAGTTGGATCTCCTCAACACGGCACTGGAGGGCGATCATGAACACAGGCAGACATGGACCCGGTACATGCAGTCACCACAGCATTGTTCGTTGGACCTCGACGGTAAAAATCTTAGTGGCGGCGTGCGGCCTTTTGTTGCTGGCGTCGACCGCTTACGCCGCCATCGACGAGGAATCCCAATTCGTCCTGAATACGTTCTCGTTCCTCATCTGGGGGGCGCTGGTGATGTGGATGTGCGCCGGCTTCGCCATGCTGGAGTCCGGCTCCGTGCGCACCAAGAACGCCTCCGCCATCTGCCTGAAGAACATCGGGTTGTATTCGGTCGCGGGGCTGACGTATTACCTGATCGGCTACAACCTCATGTACACCGACGTCGGCTCGTGGATCGGCTCCGTCACCTTCCTCTACGGCCCGTCGGCGGACGAGTTGGCGTTGCTGTCGGGGGACGAAACGGCAAAGGCATCCGTCATCAAGCAAAACTACGCCACCATGTCGGACTGGTTTTTTCAGATGGTCTTCGTGGCTACGGCCGCCTCGGTGGTTTCCGGCGCCCTGGCCGAACGTGTCAAACTTTGGTCCTTCCTGACTTTTACGACCCTTTTAACGGCCATTGTATACCCCATTGTCGGCGCCTGGACGTGGGGCGGCGGATGGCTCAACCAAATGGGGTTTCAGGACTTCGCCGGCTCCACCATCGTGCATTCGACGGGCGGCTGGGCGGCGCTGGCCGGCATCATGGTCGTGGGACCGCGGGCGGGCAAATTCCGCAGCAACGGCAGCGTCAAGGTCACGCCGCCCTCGAACGTGCCGCTCGTCACCCTCGGCGTGCTCATCCTGTGGTTCGGATGGCTCGGCTTCAACGGCGGCTCTCAGCTCGCGCTGGGCAGCGTGAGCGACGCCGTGGCAATGAGCAACGTGCTGGTGAACACCAACTTGGCAGCAGCGTCGGGGGTTGTGACCGCGCTCCTCATATCGCGTCCCCCTGTTCGGGCGCGTTGATCTGCTGATTATCCTCAACGGCGCGATCGGCGGCCTCGTCTCCATTACGGCAGGCCCGGACATCGTGACGCCGCATTGGGCAGTGATCATCGGCGCGCTCGGCGGCTTGCTGTGCGCCGGCGGCACCAAGCTGTTGGAAATCGTGAAGCTTGACGACGTGGTCGGCGCGGTGCCGGCGCACCTGTTTGCCGGTATCTGGGGCACCCTGGCGGTCTGCATCGCGGCCGGCGGCAAGTTCGGCGTGCAGCTTCTCGGCGTGGTCGCGGTGGGTGTGTTCGTATTCGGGATTTCCTGGTTGATGTGGATGGCGCTGAAGCTCGGCATGGGTGTGCGGGTCTCACCGTCCGTCGAAGAAATCGGTCAGGACGCGATGGAGCTGGGCCTCGAAGCCTACCCCGAATTCGTGCTCATGCCCGACCCGGATCATGTAGAGGAACTACGTAACAGTAGCGGAGGAAATTAATGGATTACGGCATCAAGGGGCGAGTCGCGTTGGTGGCGGCTTCGAGCAAGGGGCTGGGCAAGGCATGCGCCATGGGTCTGGCGCGCGAGGGGGCGAAAGTCGCGCTTTGCGCCCGCAACGACGACGAGTTGCAAAAGGCCGCCCAGGAGATTCAATCGGCCACCGGCGCCGAGGTGTTTGCACAGACGGCCGACATGAGCCGGCCGGACGACATCGAAAGTCTGATCGGAGCGGCGCGGGAACATTTCGGGCGCATCGACATTCTGGTCACCAACGCCGGCGGACCGCCGCCGGGACAATTCATGGACTTCGCCGACGACGACTGGCTGGCAGCACTGAACCTGAACCTGCTTAGCACCATCCGGCTGATTCGCGGCGTCATGCCGCAGATGCAGGCGCAGCAGTGGGGCCGCATCGTCAACATCACCTCGGTGACGGTCAAGCAGCCGTTTGAGGCGCTGCTGCTCTCCAATGTGGCACGCGCCGGGGTGGTCACCTTGTCCAAGACGCTCTCCAACCAACTGGCGAAGGACAACGTGCTGATCAACACCGTGTGCCCGGGGATCATCCTGACCGACCGCGTGAAACAGGTCACGCACAACATGGCCGAGACGCAGGGGATCAGCGAGGACGAGGCGCTGCAGGCGTACGTGTCGCCCATTCCCATGGGGCGCGCCGGACAGCCCGCCGAGTTTGCCGACTTGGTCGTTTTTCTGAGCTCGGAGCGCTGCAGCTACATCACGGGCACCGTCACCCAGATCGACGGGGGCTTCGTGAAGGGGTATTACTGATCGGGCATGGCCTGCAGCAGCATGGCGTAGAGCAGCGGCAGCATGATCTCGTGATGCCCGGTGAGCGTGTAGCCGCGGCCGCCGTCCTGGGTCGGGCGGCGCACGACGTTGGCGTCGGTGCGGTAATGCTGCAGCATGTCCAGGTTGACGGTGATGAAGCGCTCGACCGCGTGACCGGTGTTGCGGCACAGGGTCAGCGCTTTGAGGAAGACCTCGGGCAGGAGCACGGCGGAGCCGACGTTCCAGTAGCAGCCGCCGTCGTGGAGGCCGCGCAGGAGCAGGGTCAGGCGCTGGAAATCCGCATAGGTCGCAGCGCCGAGCAGGGCGGCGTCGGTACTGGGGTGCATGTGGATGGTGTCGGCGCCGATAGCCACGTGCACCGTCACCGGCACCCGGCAGGCATGCGCGGCGGCGAGAAGGCTGTGGGCTTTGTGCGGATAGTCCTCTTCGGCGATTGCTTGCCCCAGCGCGGCGCCGATGCCAAGGCGGCCCGCGTCATACGCTTTCAGGGCCTCGTTGATCAGGCGGGGAGTCTCCTCCACCATGCCGAAAGCGCCGGAACCGAGCCCTTGCGCGACGTCCTCGGACGTCGCGCCGATCAGCGCCACCTCGAGGTCGTGAATGATCCCGGCGCCGTTCAGGACAAGGCCGCTCAACCAGCCGCGCTGCATCATGTCGATGAGGATCGGGTTGAGGCCGCACTTGATGACGTGGGCGCCCATGGCCAGGATGACGGCCCGCCCGCGCTGGTGCGCGGCCACGAAGCCATCGACGATGTCGGCGATGTCCAGGCCCTTCAGCAGGCGCGGAAACAGGGCGCGCAGATCGCCGTTGGATTGCCAAGCCTGCGGATCGACGAAATCGGCCACGTGCACCTTGTGCTGCCGGTCTCGCACCGAAACCGTGCGTACCCGTTGCAAGGCTGCAGGTCTTCCGGCGTTACTGGACGAACAGGCTGGCGAGGCATGTTGGAATGCTCCATACACAGGATCACTAGGGGAACGGCTGCGGGGCATTATAGCAACACGGCGGCGCAACGCGTTCAGATATGTAGGTCGGATTAACGCCGCGTAATCCGACAGTCACACGCAGTCCACCTCCATATATCCGATAAATAAGGCAGAGTGATTGTGAACTCATCCCTACACAGACAAGTGACAAGAGCTGCAAATGAAACTCTCGCCCTCAGCAGACCATCCTGACAACGGCTACGGCGGGAGCAGCGCCGTCGGCCACAGCTTGCGGACGGCAACGGCATCCCCTACCCCGACCTCGCGCGCGCCCTCAGTGTTGACCGCGCCGAGTTGTCCGCCTGCCTCCTCCGTCTCATCCGCAAGCGGCTCGTCGTGGCCACCCTGCCGCGCGGCGCCTGGGTGCGCTACATCGCTCTGACCGACAAGGGAGAAGCCAAACCTCATCAGGACACACCCAAGGAACACAAGGAATACCGCGACCCATCGGACCGGTGGGACCGCGAGGGCCGTCCGCGCCGCAAGGTCAGGACCCGCCGTCGCGACCCCCGGACACCCCTGACCGAATTGGACATGTGAGATGGAAGCTACCGCCAACCGCAGGCTGACCCTGTTACATACGGCGGACGTACACCTCGACAACTGGCCCCAGGGCACGGCGGAGCCGCCCGGCGCCCATCGTGGCTTCGAGGCCATCATCGACCGCGCCCTCGATATGCAGGTCGACATCGTCCTCATCGCCGGTGACCTCTTCGATCACAACCGCGTTGCCGACGGCACCATCGCCTTTGCGCAGAACCAATTGCGGCGTCTGCGCTGCCCGGCCGTCATTCTGCCGGGCAACCATGATTGCCTGCATCCCAACGGCATTTACCATCGCCACGACTTCGGTACGGCGTGCGGCAACGTGCGCGTCATCACCGAGCTGGACGGCCAAACCATCGCATTTCCTGAACTCGATCTGGTTATCTGGGGGCGGGGCATGGAAGCGCACGAACCTGGTTTTCATCCGCTGGCCCACATCCCCGCGCGGCACGACGGACGCTGGCACGTGGCCATGGCGCACGGATTTTTCTACGAAGACTTCGAGCAGCCCGAACGTTCATCGCCGATTCTTGCTGCCGAGATTCGCCAGACCGACTGGGATTACGTCGCCATGGGCCACAAACACGTCACGGCCGACCACAGCCAGGAAGGTGTTGCGGCCTGGTACCCCGGCACACCCTTACCGGAGTGGAGCGCCGCCCCGCCGGGACACGTCCTGCTGGTTGAGTGCTGCCCCGAGCACGGTGTCATCGTGCAGCCGCAACAGGTCGCAGGAACATACAGGGACCGCGCATGAATGCCAAGCTGTGCAAAACGTTCATCCTCGCCATTGCCTTGACAATCGCAGGCTGCGAAAAACACCCGGTGCAATCCGCATTTGAGCTCGACCCGATTGTCCATCCAGCCTCCGGGCGCATCGTCTTCAACCGTATGTGCGCAGACGAAAATCCGTACAGCGTCCAGGCATACACCCGCATGGCGTCGAAAGACGGCCGGGCGCAGGCGGTGGCGGCCTTCTGGGCAGGTTACCGGCCAACGGGCGGCAGGACGGTGTACATCGAACTCAGGCTTCACAGGCTGAAACTGAACGCCGGGGCGGGATGGGAAAACGCAGACTACTCGACCCGGCTCATCGGGCGCGCCGGGCAGCGCATCGTGGAAGGACCGAAGGTGCGGCACTACTTCCACGACGCCGACGGACAGGAGCCGGTCTACAGGAACTTCCGTACCGATGCGACAGGAGCAGCCGACTGGATCACGTTCATCGAACCCGATGACAGGCGCGAGGACGCCGATCGCTTCTACCGCATGGGGCCGGAACTGGACTTCAAGGCCCGAGACCTGCAGGTAGACAGCCCACAGCAAGAGATTGAACTGACGCTGACACTGGAGAACGAGGCAAACGGAGAGACTTTGGAACTCCAGGGGCCCCGGCTCCGGGTGCCGGGGCCCCTGTGGGCCACTGACGCCCCCCACGCCCCAGACCCTCGGGTTAGCGCAGGTGCTGAATCCGCTCCAGGAAGGCGGCCTGTTCAACACTGTGGGACGGGCCTGGAAACACCGTAAGTGCATCGAGGAACGACGGGCCGCCAAGCGGACGCTCGGCCCGTATACGGGGGTAAAGTGAAGAGATGGCGGGTGAAGCTCATCGAGCGACGAGTTGTGTCCAATGAGTGCCTAATGCGATGTGGGTTGCTGGAAAATCGCTGAGGGGTATTGAGTCATTATCGACTGTCTTCACCATCCCAAAATAAACGAATTGCGCAGCAGGGCAACGGTTTCGCCGTCCTGATTGATCACCGTGGTTTCCCGCACCACGAAACGCATGGTGCCAGAGCGGCCCGTCTTCTCATAGAGGTCGGCGAGACGGGTCGTGTAGGTCAGCGTATCGCCGGGATAGACGGGACGGTAGAAGGTACAGTCGTAGCCGGCATTGATACCGATGCCCTGGATCGCCATTTCGGGCGGGGCGATGGGTCCGGCACCATGCCAAGTGACGAACGTGGGCAACGCGATGATGTCGCGGTAGCCTTGGGCACGGGCCGCTGCGCGTCCACGTGCACCGGATTCCTACTTCCGAGAATACTGGCGTAGTCGAGGAGTGAATACTGTGGGACGGAGTGATGCTTCGGCGCGGTGCGGTAAGAGGAGACCCCGAGATGGTTAGGAAGAGGTGGATACACCAGAGCCGAACGCGAGGCTCAGTGGACCAGCGTCGTAGCACGAAAACGACGAGAGACGCGCTGTCGCAGCACGTAGCGGCGCGAGAACACAAGACTGTAGAGACCGAGCGATCGGCGACCGCCAGGACGTCGCCGGCACGACGATTCGCAGGTGGCAAACGCCAGCACCAACCGGCTCAGACGTCCGTGAGACAGCCAAACCTGCACCTGCTCCTTGAGAACGGGGCGGTTGTCTCTGGAGTTGCGCCCGCGACCGTGGATGACGCGCACGCAGCGCTGACCGGCGGTGTGTGCCTGCGTAACGAAACGCTGTATGACAACCTTTGCTTCTTCGACCGTGTGGCCGTGCAGGTCACACTGCGCCTGGACAGCAAAATCGCCGCGATGCAGGCGCTGGGCCAGACGACGATCGACACCCGGCGCCACGCCCTCCATGTATTCATCCGTGGACTGAATGGAAAAGGCGCCGCGCCCTTCGACGAGGTCACGCAACTCGTCCAGGGCGTCCGGTTCTTGGTGCGCGCTTACCCTGCGCTGCGGCCGCGGTTTGTCCACGTGCCCGCGCGGATCCTTGGGCAAGGGAGTTACGCCGGTCATTTCGGACAGGAACAACGCCCGCTCCCGCCGTGCCCCTTCGTCGGTAGAGACAGTAGCCTGCCTGGGTATGGGGTCGGCTATTTGGCGGGGCGGAACGGGGGCAGGCTTTGGCGTGTGGCACAGGGCGGTCCGCGTGGGCGGTTCTGGGGCAGGCCGAGTTAAGAGTCGCGCAGTTTTTCCGTACTCATAGAATGGCGTAGAAGTCTTCTTCCTGCGGTGCGGTGGTTGGGGTAAAAATTTCGGGATAGGATAGGACGAGGGGTTTCGTCGCTTGCGTCCCATGGCCTTTACGTCCTGTAGGCACGGTCCAGCATCTCGATCGGATGGAGGATTTCGGCGGTCAGTCCGTGCCGTGCAGCCCCTTGGCGGAGTTGCAGGAGACAGCCAGGATTGCCGCTGACGACAACATCAGGCCGCACCGATGCAAGGTGGGCCATTTTACGGTCGAGAAGCGCCTCGGCCGTTTCCGGATGAAACAAATTGAAGGTGCCGGCGCTGCCGCAGCACCAGTCGCTCTCGGGAACTTCCAGCAATTCCAGTCCTGGCACCTGCCGCAGTAAGTCCCTCGGTTGCTGGCGAATCTTCTGCCCGTGTGACAGGTGACACGGGTCGTCGTACGCCACCCTTAACGGCACGGGTTGCAAAGGCCCCCGCAGAGGGTCGGCAGCCAAGATTTCGCTAATATCACGCACACGGGCGTCAAAAATCTCCGCCCGCGCCGCAAATTCGGGGTCGTCGGCTAGCAGGTGGCCGTAATCCTTCATCAACGCCCCGCAGCCCGCAGCGTTGACCACGAGCCAGTCCGCCCCGCTCGCCTCAAACGCGGCAATATGGAGCCGCGCCAGCCGCCGTGCACTTCCCAGATGGTTGGCATGCGCCTGCAACGCCCCGCAGCACGGTTGCGCCGGGTTGGCCAGGACGCGGTAGCCGTTGCGGGCCAACACCCGCACGGTGGCACGATTCACCTGCGGCAAAACCTGCGGCGTCACGCAACCCGTGAGCAAAAGCACACCTCCGCGCTCCTCGCCGTGCGCGGGCGTTTCCACGGGTAGGGATTGGCGCGCCTTTGCGGGAGGGACGGCGGGCAGGAGCGCTTCCATGACAGCAAGCCTTGGCGCCAGCCGGGGCAGCAGGCCGCTCAAGCGCACGAGCGCCTGCACGCCACTGATCTGATACACACGCAGGAGGTTGGACAGTCGGTGCAAACGGTGCGGGGACGGCAGAATGTGTTCCATGAACAGTCGGCGCAGCCAGCCGCCAAGACGCGATGCGGGCTGTCCAACCCCCGCGGCAGCCCGTCCGGCCTCCAGCAGCCGGCCGAACTCCACGCCGGCCGGACAGGCCGTTTCGCAGGCGCGACAGCCGAGGCAGAGATCGAGGGGTTCGAGGATATCTTCAGGCTCAAGAACGCCGTCGGCCACCGCGACCATCATGTCAATGCGGCCGCGGGGCGACGCCGCTTCACTGCCGGTGAGGTTGTAGGTGGGACAAACAGGCAAGCAGAAGCCGCACTTGATGCAGCTCGTCTCAGCCTGCTGCAGCGTTTCCTGCAATGCCGACGACTGTGTCATAGCCTACAGGTTCGCCTGCGGGACAGCGTAGTTCCTGTCCTTTTTGTAGATCTGCAGGCGGCCGCGTTGGCAATCCGCCACGGTGATCAAATCGCGCTCCGCGTCGAACGCCACAGCGGTCGGGTAATAGAAGCGCCACTCGGGCTCCAGACTCTTCACCCGGCGGCGCATCTTCGACATGTCTGGATTGGCGTCGATCGATTGCTGGCCCCATTTGGACAACCACTGCGCGTCGCCGATCAGTGAAGTGATCAGGTCGCCATCCGGCCGGTAGATGCGCAGTTTGTGATTGCCCCAATCGGCTACATAGACGTCGTCGTCCGTATCCACGGCGACGCTGGTCGGGTGGTTGAGGTCGCGCGGGCCGTCCCCGGGCTGACCGAATTGCATGATGAGTTCGCCGTTGCGATCGCGTTTTTGCACCTGGCCATTTTTCCAGTCGGCCACGTACACGTCGCCGTGCGCGTCGATGTGGATGCCCCAGGGGGTATCCAGTTGATCGGGGCCGCTACCGTGCGAGCCCCAGCCGGATACGTATTTGCCGTCTGCGGTGTACACCTGCACGCGGTGGTTGCGGCTGTCGACCACGTAGAGTTGGTCATCCGCATCAAAGGCCAGGCCGGCGGGGCCGTCGAATTCGCCGGGACCGCTTCCCGCCGTGCCCCACTGCTCAATGAAATTGCCGTTGGGATCAAACACGGCAATGCGATTCAACCAGTCGTCCGACACGTAAACCCGCCCCTGCTTGTCCAGCGCCACGGAATTGGGCCACAGCGCCTGCCCCGGATTTGAGCCGTAACGGCAGAACTCAGCGAGCACCTTCTCTTCACCCGGCTCGCCGACGAACACCTTGGTAAGCCGCGAGCCGTAGTTCGTCTCGTTACCGCGACTGACGACGTACAGCACGCCCTGCGACGCCGGCGCGATGGCGCAGGGATAAGAGAACCCGTCGCCGGCCGCCGCGTTGCGGCCGACGGTGTGACTGAAATCGTAGACACGTCCAGCGATTACGGTAGTCAGCATGGGTGTTTCCTTCTACGCCTTGGCGATGAACGCCGGACTTTCAAAGGTGCCGCCGACAATCGACGGGGCGTCCAGTTCCAGCCAGTCATCCAGGAGTGTGGTGTACACGCCGCGGAAATCCTGATTCGGCATCAGGTCGCCTTGCGTCAGGTCCTCGGCCTTCAGCGACGGATATTCGCCATACATGCCGCCCTGGACGGCTCCGCCAATGGCGAACGCCACGCCGCCGGCGCCGTGGTCGGTGCCGGAGCCGTTGTCGTGCACCCGGCGACCGAACTCGGTGAAAAATCAGCATCACGACGTTGTCAGCAGCGTCGTGCTCGCGCAAATCGGTGAAGAAAGCACCGACGCCTTCCGAAACCTCTCGCCACAGCTTGGCGTGCTCGCCGGTTTGGCTGGCGTGCGTATCAAAGCTGCCGTGGTCCAGGTAGAAAATACGGGTGCCCACCTCGGCGGCGTGCACCTGCGCCACGCCGCGCAGCTTGCGGGCCACCTTGGAATCGGGGTACGTGACACTCGATTGATAGCGCTGCGGCGCCTCCTTAAGAACGTCCGCGCCAGCCATGGAATCGAGGCCCGTTTGGCCCATGTAATCCATCACCGCCCCCAGACCGATGGCCGGGGCGTAGGCGTTTTTAAACCGTTCCAGCACCCTCTGCCGCCGCTGTCCCTCGATTCCCGGTAGCATGCCGTAGGTCTCCAGGTCACCGCTGACGCACGCCACGGGAACGCCGGGAAGCGCCATGGCACGGTACATGCTGGGGCCGAAACTGACGCCGGTCACCACGTTTTCCTTGTTGGGATCGATATCCCGCAGCGCACGGCCCAGCCAGCCCTCGGTGCCGACAGTATCCGGCTCGCAGGTGTGCCAGATGTCCATGGAGCGAAAGTGCGAACGCGGCGAATTGGCGTAGCCGACGCCGTGCATGACAGCCACGTCACCGGCGTCGTAGAACGACTTCAGGGCTTCCATGCTCGGGTGAAAGCCTAGGGCCTGATCGATCGGGATGATCTGATCTTCAGGGATACTCACCGCCGGGCGGTTCTCCCAGTACAGCGAGTTGGCGTACGGGATGACCGTGTTCAGATAGTCATTGCCGCCACTCAACTGCAGCACGACCAGAACGGGTTCTCTCTTCTCTGCCATGACTGAACTCCCTCCTCTTACGGTTCAGGCGCAACACACGCCTTAGTGGCTGGTTAGTTGAATTGATACTCACGCATGGCGACGATCAACTGCAGCATCTCGCCGATCCGCGCTACGGATGCCTCCGTCTCGTCCGCCGAATCCCAGGTCAGCGGACCGCCCTCGCGGGCCTGCTCCAAAAGCTCCTGCCGGGTATCCGTGCCCACCTGAAGCGGACCCATCAGGTCCAGACAGCTATTCACGAAGGCTTCGGGATCGAGCGAACCCTTGGCCCTGATGCGGCGGATCATGTCCCGCACGCCCGGCAGATCGGTGCTGCCGACCATGTCAGCCACGAAATTGATACGGCTCATCAGCGAGCCGCTGTTGATCCATTCCTTGCCGGTATGCCAGCCCTCCACGCTGGGCGGATTGAGCAAATCCTGGCCCATGTAGGTCGGCTGCAGGGCCACATCGCGGCCGTAATCGGGACGCGGGATCTCAGCGCCGCCGACCATACGCAGGGTGCCGACGACCAGCTCTGCCGGGCTTTTCACCTTCGTGAAGTAGGCTTCCTTGAAGGAGTCGGAGGTGAACAGGGTGGTCAGCACCGCCTTCATGTCGTAGCCCGACTCCTGGAAGGTATTGGCCAAAGCATCGACCGCCGCCTCGTCGCGCGACGGGGTGATCTTCCAGCTTGGCACCTGCGGTTCGTCGGCCACGAAAAAGTTGTACAGGTGACGCGCGACGAAGCGACCACAGGCCGGCTGCTGCACGACGATATCGATGATGTCCTCGCCGTTGAAATTGCCGGTGTGACCCAGAAACTCCTTCTCACCGTCGTCGTGGTCCTCTGCGACGTACTCGAACTCCCAGGGAAAACGACCGTACGGCAGGCGCGGAATCTTGACCGAGAACGTCCAACCGGTGAAGGCGCGCGACGCCTCACGTACATCCTTCTCGGTGTAATTCCCCTGCCCCATGCTGAACAACTCCAAAAGTTCCCGCCCCCAGTTCTCGTTCACGGCGTCCTTGTGGTTCTCGTTGTTGTCCAGCCAGTAAATCATCGCCGGGTCCTTGGCCAGGGCCACCAGCAGGTCGCGGTAGTTGCCCATGCCGCGCTGTCGGAACATGCCGATCTGCGCCAGCAACTGGTCGTAATTGTCCACCTTGGAATTGCCGGTAGCGAAGACGTGGTGCCAGAAGAGCGCCATCTTCTCCTCAAGGGGACGCTGGGTGTTCACCATGTGGAACATCCAGTTGACGTTCCCCATAGGCGGCATGCCGCCCGGCAACAGAGCAGCGGGTTGGTAGCGCAGCAGGGCGTATTCGTCCGCCGGCTCGCTGGTTTTGGGGTGAATCAACTCCTGCACCGTCGCCTCGTACCCTTCGGCGGCGCGGCGCTCCAATTCCTCGCGCGGCGCCCCGAAGCCGGCCCGGCGCATCAAGTGGGCCATCAATCCGATGTCGTGATTGTCTACCATTGCTCTCTCCTCCTCACGGCGTTGACACTCTCCCACACATGGATTCCCGCTGGCGCGAAAGCGGCAGGGACAGGCAAGTCGTCAGTCCCGCGCCAGCCGAAACCTCGACCGCCTCCTTCGCCTCTTGTGTCTGAGGTATGCGATGTACAGCCGGCCGATAATAAGGACCATCACCACCACGGCCGCCCATATGAAGAGCTTCTTCTGCTTACGGTCCAGCAAATGAAAACTATGGGTCAACACTTTCCTAAGGCCCGCTCGCTCAACCGAGCCGCTGGCGATCAGCGGTATGGATACCAGAAGCCTGCCCTGCAGCCCCACGACGTATTCACCAACCACCTGTTGGTGCTCTACCGGGGCAATCAGGTACTCGGGCAACGTATCGCGGCGCTCAAGGTTATCCTCGAATTCTTCAGGCACGATGAGCATCGGGTTACGCGCCCCCACCACGCCGATGCTGTCCTCTTTTCCCTTGAATACCGGAATCTCGAACACCGTGCCCGGCTCCTGGAACACGTCGAGGAAGGCATAGCGACGATAGCCGTAGTTGAGCAGCTTCGCCGACTCCTCGGTGCGCACGGTGGGGCTGGTCGCCCCCATGAGGACGGAAATCAGCCGGCGCCCCTCCCGTTCAGCGGTGGCCAGCAAGTGATAGCCGGACGCGGCGGTGAAGCCGGTTTTCAGACCATCGACCGAGTCATCCCTCCGTAGCAGCCGGTTGCGGTTGTATTGGCGTATGTCGGAGAAGGTGTACTCCGTAAGGGAGTGATACTGCAGGGCTTGCGGAAAATCTTGCAGGTAGTGCATGGCCAGCAGGGCCATGTCTTGGGCGGTGGTGAGTTGCCCGCGGCTCGGCAGTCCGTGCGAATTGGTGAAGTGACTGTTCGTCATACCCAATCCGCTGGCCGTCTCGTTCATGATTTTGACGAACGCCTCTTCGCTGCCGGAGAAGTGCTCGGCTACCGCCACGCAGGCGTCGTTACCGGACACGACGGAAATACCTTTGATCAGTTCCTCCAGCGGCACTCTTTCGCCCTCCCGCACAAACATTTTCGAGCCGCCGGTCCTCCATGCCTTCTCGCTGATGAAAACCTCATCGCTGAGTCGTGCCTGACGCTTGTCAATGAGATCGAAAACAACGTACAACGTGAGCAATTTGGTAAACGAGGCAGGGGGAATTTGCTCGTCTTTGTTCTGCTGCTGGAGGATCTTGCCGCTGGAATACTCCATCAGCACGGAACTCTTGGCGCGGACCGACAGACTACTCCCCGGCTCGAGCATCAGGTAGGGTTCGGGCATTTCAGCCTTGGGTCTTTCGCCGGAGACTGTGGCGGCAGGCTCGGCAATTGCAGGCTCGGTCGCTTCCGGGAGAGGCGCAGGCGTTGGGGTCTCGTCCTGAGCGTGTAAGCAGCCGAAGAAAAAAAGCACGAACAAGCCGCCTAGTAACAACAGCCGCGTAAGGCGGCGATTCGGGGAGTCAGTCACGTGCAATTCCTCTGTCGGGTGTTCCTTGCTTTCGCGTGCATCGTGTCACCCCGTTTCCTCGGTAAAGCGAACCTGCTCACCGTACGTCTCCACGAACGACTCAAAGCGGGCGACGTTGTCGGGGATGAGGGTCTTACCCTGGCTCCAATCGTAGAAGCTGGGAAAATACCAGACGAGCAGCGGGTCACCACAGGCCTCGCCAGCTTTGAAGAACGCCAAGTGCGGCGTCTGCCCTTCCGAACGGCGCACTGCGGCCGCTTGCAGGGTGTGCCGTTTGAGATGCAGATGGCTACGCGCTTCGGGCCTCTCGGCGTTGGTGTGATACACCGTCAGCCACTCCTCATAGGGATGCAGATACATGTCCTGCCCGCGCAGTTCCATGGAGCCGTGCTCATTTCGCAAGATGAAGGTGCCGCCCATATCGATCAACAGCTCCAAGAAATCGTGAAGTGTCGTCGTCATTGCCATGCCACACCTCCACAAGAAGCCACGTTACGACGGAGCCTCAAACAGCCTGGGACCCGCCAGCACGTGGCTCTGCCAGTGCTGCCAACTCAGGAGATCCTCCCCTGGCAATTTGCATTGTCAAAAGGTCGCCGCCTGTTCAAAGAAGGCGACGTCGACCCGCACCGTGCCCTCCTGCCGGGCCTGTTCGGCGACTTTCTGAACCACCATCTGACGCACAAACGGAATGGGAATGCGGCCAACACGATGCACCACGTCTTCGGTACAAGGAACCGAGGTGCCGGGCAAATATGGACCGTCCGACGCTTCCGGCTCGGCGTCATGCTCGCAGGTGTGGGGCACCAACTCCTGCAGCCGCAGGGAAACGTAATCCGTCACCCACTGCTGGATGCCCTCGGTAACCTTGCCGGTATCAACGCGCTGCTGCTCAAGCTGCTGCGAAAAACCGACCAACAGTTCCTGCACGCGCGTCAACTGCTCCTGCATGGCGTCCAAACGGCTTTCAAGCCCCGTGGCCTCCGTGCTCGGCATGTTCACTATCTCCTTATACAGGGAACTTTTTCTATCGCATGAAATCATAGGGGCAGCGATGCTCATGACCGTTTGGGACGGAATCGTGCACCCCACGTTTGGCGAATCTCGGCCAACAACTCGGAGGTTATCTCCGGGTAACCCTGCGACCGAGCATAGGCTTCCACACCCTTCACCACCATACCGCGGGCGAATGACGGAATCGCCTTCAGCCGCTCGCGGGCCGCCGGCTGCCAAACCAGTTCCTGCTTCACCTCAAGGCCGAACGTCTGCGATGGCGGGAGCTCAATCATTTTACCACCGTGTTGACCTGGCTGGTAAGCGCAGGCGGGATCCTCGGCCAAATAATCGCCGTAGGTGGCATAGGCGCGGCAACGACAGCCGCCACAGATTTTGCTGAACTCGCAGGTACCACAGCGCCCGCCTAGCTCCGGCTCACGCAAATTCTGGAAAACGTCGGACCCATCCCACAGATCGGCGAACGACGTCTGGCGCAGATTGCCCGCCACGACCGGCATATAGGGACACGGTGTCACATCGCCGCGCGGCGTGATGCGGCAGTAGTATTTGCCGGCCGGGCAGGAGCCGTGGGCGTAATTCTTGAGCAGCGGCGAGTTGGGATCGAGCTCCCAGACGATGCGGCGAAAGTGTGGGGCACACTTGGCGCGAATAAGGAGCTTGCCCGCCGCGCCGACCGGCATGCTCCACGGGTCCTCCTGCTTGCTGAAAACCGATGTCGCCTCAGTGTCACCATCTTCGCCAACCCCTTGGGCGCGAGCCAAAGACGTCAGGATAGCTTCGTACTGCTCGGCGCTGATGTCCGTCAGGTTCTCGCCCCGCCCGGTTCGCACCAGGAAGAATAAGTTGAGCACGTTGGCGCCCAGGTCGTTGGCCAGATCGACCATCGCCGGAATCTCGTCAACATTCCAGTCGGTCACCGACATGTGCAACGAGAAGTCCAGGCCTTCGTCCTTCAAGACCCGCGTCGCCCGCACGGCAGCCTCCCAGGAGCCGGCCTGATGGCGAAAGGCGTCGTGCTTGTCGGCGTGCGTAGAATCCAGGCTTATCGAGGCACCAAGAACACCGCTCTGCCGCATCAACTTGGCCTGCTTCTCGCGTAACAGCACCCCGTTCGTACCCAGAACGACCGTGAAATCACGCTCCGCCCCGTAAGCCGCCAAGTCGAATATATCCTTCCGCAACAGCGGCTCGCCGCCGGTAAGGATGAGAAAGATGCTGGGATTGACGCGGGCGATGTCGTCCATGACGCGGTAGCACTCAGCCGTCGTCAATTCGTTTGCAGCGTCGGCACCGGCGGAAGCGCTGATGTAGCAGTGGGCGCAAAAAAGGTTGCACCGCTGCGTGAGGTTCCAGGAAACCGAATAGGCTTTATAAACCATAGGCTATCCCGTCTTGCTTAAGGCTCCTCGCCGAAATGTTTCAGGTCTTCCGGGCCTTCCTGGGTCACCACCACGCTCTCTCCCTGGACCATTTGGCGGACCGACTCCACCACTTCGGGGTTCGCCAGCGTCGTCACGTCACCAATATCCATGGTATTCGAAATCGCCGCCAGCACCCGGCGCATGATCTTTCCGGAACGCGTCTTGGGCATGTCCGGGACGATGTACACGTGCTTTGGCCGAGCGATCTGGCCGATGATCGTCTCAATGGCTTGGGTCACCTTGGCTTCGATAGCCGGGCCCGGGTCAAAACCAGGCTTCAACGACACGTACATATCCGGCACCCGTCCGCGAATGTCGTCCGCCACCGGCACAACCGCCGCCTCGGCGATTTCCTCGACGGTGAGGCCGGCGGATTCAAGCTCCTTGGTACCCAAACGGTGACCGGCAACGTTGATCACGTCGTCGACGCGGCCCAGGATGCGGTAATAGCCGTCAGCTCTGGCGACTGCATGGCGCCGTCACCGGTAAAGTACGGCCAATCGCGCCAGTCCTTGCTCTCGGGGTTCTTGCAGTACTTGCCATAGTAGGTCGATACGTAACGCTCACGGTCGCCCCAGATGGTTTGAAAACCACCGGGCCAGGGATTGCGGATACAGATATTTCCGGCTTTGCCCGACCCCGCCGGCACCTCATCGCCATTTTCGTCGTAGATGACCGGATGAATGCCCGGCACGCTGGGTCGGCACTACCCGCCTTCATGCCTTGCAGAGCCGGCAGGGTGCTGCACAGAGAACGCCCGGTCTCGTCTGCACAAGTGTCGCGACACGCACGGCCCTCACCTGCCACCACGTCGTAGCACGTGTCATCTCCTGCGCCGGTTTACTGGCCACACCTCGGGTTCGATGGGTTCACCAACGGTGGTCATGTGCTTGAAGTGGTAATTGTATTTTTGTGGTTCGTCGGGCCCGGCTTTGCGCAGCATGCGGATGGTGGTGGGGGCGGTGTGGAAAATGTTGACCGCCAATTGCTCGGCGATACGCCAAGCCCGCCCGGCGTCGGGATAGGTGGGAACGCCCTCGTACATGACGGTGGTGGCCGCCAGAGACAACGGACCGTAGACAATGTAGGAATGCCCGGTGATCCAGCCGATGTCCGCCATGCACCAATACACGTCCTCGGGGTGAATGTCCTGCACGTACTTGGAGGTGCCCGCTACGTATGAGAGGTAGCCGCCGGTGCTGTGCTGGCAGCCTTTGGGACGCCCGGTCGTGCCGCTAGTGTACATCAGGAACAACGGTTCTTCGGCCGCCAGCGCCACGGGCTCAATCCTGCTGCCGGCGTAGGTCTTTAATTCATTATCCACGAAGTAGTCACGCCCGTCCTGCATCGGGGTCGCCGAATGGTATTGGCCGGGGTAACGCCGCCACACCAACACCTTGTCAACGACTTGGCCTTCCTCGGCCGCCGTTTTCACGGCCTCATCCGCCTTTTCCTTGTGATCCAGGAGCGTGCCGCTGCGGTAATAACTGTCCATCGTAACCAGCACCCGGCTGCCGGAATCGGCGACATGCGCTCGCCGCATGATTTGCCGCTGAAACCACCGAACACCACCGAATGGATGGCACCCAGCCTGGCGCAGGCCAGCATGGTGACCGGCAGTTCCGGCACCATTGGCATGTGAATGGTCACCCGGTCGCCTGCCTTAACACCAGCAAAATCCCGTAGCACGGCGGCAAATTCGTTCACCCGCGTGTAAAGTTCTTGATACGTAATCGCAACGTGAGCTTCATCTTCCGGTTCCGGCACGTAAAGAATGGCCGCTTTGTTTCTATACTTTGTTAAATGGCGGTCGACACAATTGTAGGAAACATTAAGCTTGCCACCAACAAACCATTTCCAGCACGGGGCATCACTGGTATCCAGCAGGGTATCCCAATACGCATACCAATCGAGGAGATCAGCGTACTCTTTGAAACACTCAGGAAATCGGTCAAGCCCAAAGCGATCGTGAACGTGCGGGTCGGTCATATTCGCCTGCGCGATAAACTGCGCCGATGGCTGAACATACGCCTCCTCCTTCCAATGCACGGCGATCTGCGCTTCACTCGTCGCCACAACCTCTGGTTCGCTCATCTCGCACCCCTCTGACCTAACAGACCAAGCCGATTTCTAAAGTCTGAATCAAGCCTCCGTACCCTTTCCAGCATCATATTAGCGGGGCATGGTAAAGGATTGCCAAGAGGGCTGTCAACCGCCAGATTGTGTGCCGAAAACGACCCGCCACCACTCCCTTGAGGCTGTTCGCAGGGCCTTCTGAACCAAGGTAAATGCTTGACTTTCAGAAGGCTGCTTGCTAAGGTCGCCCCCTGTCGATCTTTGAACCAAGACACACCTTTATTGAACCATAGACGACGATATGATGCTGACCATTGATTCAGTTGTCACCGCAGTTGAGCAATATCATCCACAAGCGGACACGGATCTGATTCGCCGCGCCTATCTATTTGCCGCAGAAGCCCACAAGCATCAAAAACGCAAATCCGGCATCCCCTACATTTCACATCCCTTGGAAGTCGCGTCTATTCTGACCGAGTTGCAAATGGACGCCATGACCATCGCCAGCGCGCTGCTACACGACACCATCGAAGATACCGACGCCGGCGAGGAACAGATCGCGTCGGACTTCAGCCCCGATGTCGCCGCCCTCGTCTCCGGCGTTACCAAGCTGAGCAAGCTCGATTTCTTCAGCCAAGAGGAACGGCAGGCCGAGAGCTTCCGCAAGATGCTGGTTGCCATGGCCAAGGATATCCGGGTGATTCTGGTCAAGCTCGCTGACCGGCTGCATAACCTGCGCACTCTGGAACACATGGCGGGCCACAAACAACGTCTCGTCGCCCGCGAAACGCTGGAGATCTACGCGCCTTTGGCTCATCGTCTCGGCATTACCTGGATGAAGGCCGAGATGGAAGACCTTTCCTTCCTCTACCTGCACCCGCGGGCGTACCAGGAAATCGAGGCACAGTTCACAGGCGAGCAGGACGCGAGCGAGCGCTACTTGGCACAGGTGCAGGAAACGGTAGCCAAAGAACTCACGCAGATGAGAATCGACTGCCGGCTTTCCGGACGGCCCAAGCATTACTACAGCATCTACCAGAAGATGCAGCGCCAGCAATTGCCGTTCGAGGAAGTCCACGACCTACTGGCCGTTCGGGTCATCACCGACACGGTGCGCAACTGTTACGCCATCCTGGGTATCATCCACGCCCTCTGGAAGCCCATCCCCGGACGCTTCAAGGACTACATCGCCCTCCCTAAACCCAACATGTACCAATCCTTGCACACCATCGTGCTGGGTCCCGAGCGCCAGCGCATCGAGTTGCAGATTCGCACCGAGGAGATGCACCGCACCGCGGAAGAAGGTATCGCAGCGCATTGGCATTACAAGGAACGCGGCTCAACCGAAGAGAACGAAGAGTATTTTGCCTGGCTGCGGCAATTGATCGAATGGCAGCAGGATCTCAAAGACCCTATCGAGTTCATGGAAACGGTCAAGATCGACATGTTTCCGGAGGAAGTCTACGTCTTTACCCCGCGCGGCGAGGTGAAGACGTTCCCGCGCGGCGCCACGGCAGTGGATTTCGCCTATTCCGTGCATACCGACGTGGGTCACCAGTGCACGGGCGCCAAAGTAAACGGCCGCATGGTGCCGCTGCGTTATCAATTGCGCAACGGGGATACGATCGAAGTCCTTACCTCTACCTCCCACGTGCCGAACCGCGACTGGTTGCGCTGGGTCGTCACGCCACGCGCTCGGACGCGCATCAAGGCGTGGCTCAAGTCGGAAGACAAAGAAAGAAGTATCGCCTTGGGCATGCGCAACCTGGAACACGAAATCCGCAAGTACACGCCGAATCCTCAGCCCTATGTGAAGACGGACGTCCTACTCGCCGCTGCCCCGGCGTTCGGCTGCCATCGAGCCAACGATCTGCTGGAAGCCGTAGGTTACGGGCGCGTGTCAGCCCTGCAAGTCGCGCATCGTTTGCTACCGTCGAACCTCATCAAGGAGAAAACGAAGCAGGGTAAGGCGGTGGCACCGTCCGGGCGACAGCAGCCGCGCAGCGAGGGGGTGAGGGTGCACGGGCTTACCGACGTTCTCATCAATTTCGCCCGCTGCTGCAGCCCCCTCCCCGGTGACCGCATCGTCGGGTACGTGACGCGTGGTCGCGGCGTCAGTGTTCACACCACGGACTGTGAAAGCACGCGAAAGCTGGAATACGACGCAGAAAGGCGTACCTCGGTGTCGTGGGACGATGCTGCCGAGACCCTGCACCCTGCGGCAATCGCCCTTGTGACGCACGACGAACAAGGGGTGCTGGCAAACGTGAGCGCCGCTGTTTCAGCGTGCAAGGTGAATATCAGCCGGTTCCACACAACGACCACCATGGAGAAGAAAGCCTACATGGACATAACGGTCGATGTCCGTGACGTGAACCATCTGAACGAAGTCATTCGCCGGATTGAAGGCGTTCGGGGCGTGCTTTCGGTAGAACGCGCCAGGAATGTCAGGCGGGGCAATTGGCATACGTAAGGACTAAGCGGGCTTGCGTACCTTGCCGGACCGCAGGCAGCGCGTACAAACCTTCATGCGTTTGACGTGGCCGCTGGCCGTCTGCACCCGCATCTGCTGCAGGTTGGGATTCCAGCGCCGGTTGGTGAGATTGTGAGCGTGGCTGACATTATGGCCAAATCGTGGTCCCTTACCACACATGTCACAGCTTCTGGCCATGGCTGCTTCCTTTCATACCCGAAACCGTACGTTGTCTTTGCTGATCCCGAAAAGCGAGCGCCAAAGCTAGCACATTCTCCCTGGGGCCGCAACAACGTACCGTGACCGCCACGTGAGCCTGCGATGACGGACGTCCGTACCCACCTGAGCCGTCTCGACAAACCCCTGCAATACGCCACGCGCAATGACTTCGCCAACTTGTCCAAGTTGCGTGAACTGGAACCGTTCGTCAAGCACCAGATCCAGGCTATGCAGTCATTGCCGCTGCCAGCCTCGATGCCCGCTCTGTTGACGCAACTGGCGGAAACGGTTGTGGGATTCGACGACCTGACATTGACCGAGAAACGGCCGCGCGCGCAGCAAGCCGCGCAGATTCTTTCCCGCCTGCACGCCTTGTCGGACCGTGCCGACGCTCCGCCAGCCCCCGTTCCGCCGCCCAAACCAACCGCCACACCCACGCCGGCACCCGCCGCCGTTTCCGAGGATCCCCTGGCCCAGCCAGTACAATTCATGCGCGGCGTCGGGCCGCGCCGCGCCGCCCTGCTTGGCAAACTCTCCCTGCACACCGTAGGCGATCTACTGTGGTGCCTGCCCGTGCGCTACGAAGACCGCCGCAACATTACCCCCCTGGGCATGCTGCAGGCCGGCACCCGGCGGACGTTCTGCGGCACGGTAACGGCCTTCCAACTGCACCCCACGTCACGCGGCAAGTCCTTTGCGACCCTGCGCCTGGAGGATTCCAGCGCTCCACTCACCTGCAAATGGTTCCAGCACCGCGGCCTTGCCCTGCAAGAGCGCTTTCCCATCGGCGCGCGTGTGGTCGGCAACGGCCTCATCGCCTTCAATCGCTATGACGGCAACCGTGAAGTGGTTCATCCCGACCTCGAAACGCTGGAAGCCGATGATACCGAGCTGGTTCACTTTGGCCGTCTGGTGCCGATTTACCCGCTCACCGCCGGGCTGACCCAGAAGAACATGCGGAGCCTGATGCACAACACCGTGGAGACCTTCGTGCCGCTGATCCGCGAGACGCTGCCGCAATCGGTCTGCACCGCTCACCGGCTGCCCGTCTTGGAGCAAGCCATGCGCGGGGTGCATTTCCCGGACGACAACAGCGACCTTGCAGCCCTCAATGAGCAGCGGACCGCCTTTCACACTCGCTTGGTATTCGAGGAATTCTTTCTGCTCGAGCTCGGCCTGGCCATCCGCCACCGCGAGGTCCGCAACACACGCCGCGATAAACACTACGACCGGCCGAACCACCTCGGCGATGCGCTGCTAAAACATTTACCGTTTCAACTCACCGTCGCCCAGCAGCGCGTGCTGGACGAAATTCTCACCGACATGCATCGGCCCTTCCCCACGAACCGCCTCATCCAGGGCGACGTCGGCAGCGGCAAGACCATCGTCGCTCTGCTCGCCATGCTGCTGGCAGTGTCCAACGGCCAGCAAGCCGCCCTCATGGCGCCGACGGAAATCCTGGCGGAGCAACACCTGGCAACGCTGCGCGCCCTGTTACAGCATCTGGACCTCGAGGTGGCGCTGCTCACCGGCACGGTCAAAGGCCGTAGCCGCCAAAAACTGCTTCAGCGCATCGCCGATGGCGAGGTATCCGTGTTGGTCGGCACCCACGCCCTGTTGTACGAGAACGTCCAGTTCCACGGCCTCGGCATGATCGTCGTGGACGAGCAGCACCGCTTCGGCGTCATGCAGCGTGCCGGCCTGCGACAGAAGGGCCTCCGGCCCGACGTGCTGGTGATGACGGCCACGCCAATTCCGAGAACCCTGGCCATGACCCTGTACGGCGACCTCGATCTGTCCATCCTCGACGAGTTGCCCCCTGGCCGCCTGCCGGCCAAAACCGTCCTGCTCAGCGAAACGCCGCGAACACGCTTACGACGTGGTACGCCGCGAGGTCGACAAAGGCCACCAAGCCTACATCGTCTACCCGCTCATCGAGGAATCCGAAAGCCTCGACCTCGGCGCCGCCGCGGCCATGGCCGAGCACCTGCGGCATGCGGTGTTCCCGGAATACGAGGTCGGCCTGCTGCACGGACGCCTGGCCGCCGAGGAACGGGACGCCGTCATGCGGGCGTTTGTGGAAGGGCGGCTACACATTCTGGTGTCCACCACTGTCATCGAGGTCGGCGTCGATGTCGCCAACGCCACCGTCATGCTGATTGAAAACGCCGAACGGTTCGGCCTGGCGCAACTCCATCAGTTACGCGGCCGCGTCGGGCGGGGCACCGCGCGCGCCACCTGCCTGCTGCTGCCGGGCCAAAAACTCAGCCGCGAAAGCCGCCAGCGGTTGAAGGTCATGCAGGAAAGCACGGATGGGTTTTACGTGGCCGAGCAGGATTTGCAGATTCGCGGGCCGGGGGAATTACTGGGGACGAAACAGTCGGGACTGCCGGAATTGCGCGTCGGCAATATCCTGCATCACGGCGTGTGGTTGGAACGAGCGCGGCAGTCGGCGTTCACGTTGCTCGACGAGGACCCCCACTTGAGCCGGGAGGAGCATCGCGCCTTGTTGCAAGCCGTACAAACCCGCTGGGGCCGTCAGTTTGAATTGGCGACGGTCGGTTAGGACTGGCTTCAGCCCCGCGCGATATGAGCCATGTGCGCCAGTTCGGGCAGAATCAGCTTTTTCATGGCCAAGCGTACCGCGGCGCTTGACCCTGGCATGGAAACGATGACCGTGCCATTGGCGACCCCAGCGGTGGCCCGGCTCATCATTGCCGCGGCGCCGATCTCGTCGTAGCTCAGGTAGCGAAAAAGCTCGCCGAAGCCCGTCAACTCCTTCTCCAGACAATCTCGCACCACTTCATACGTGCCATCGCGCGACGACAGGCCCGTACCGCCGCTCAGCAAAACGGCGTCGGTGTCGGCGTCCTGGATGTGATGCCGCAGCAGGCGCCGGATGTCGTCGGGCTCGTCCTTGACGATGCAATAGGCGTGAACGACATGGCCCGCCTGTGTAAGGGCGTCCTGCATCAACCGTCCGCTGGTGTCGGTTTCCGGCGTGCGGGTGTCGCTGACCGTGATGACCGCGCAGCGGATGCCATCGGCGGCCTGCTGCCGGTGTTCCTGGTGGCTCATGGTCGATTTCCGTTTGCAAAAGGGGGAAAAGGGCCGAGGCGCGTCACATCGCCCTGATCCGGCAAGGCGGCGATGATCTGGCGGATGGGCTCGCCCGACGGCAAATGCAGATCCGGTTCAAGCTCGCTGAGGGGAACGAGCACGAACAGCCGTTCGCTCAAGGCTTTGTGGGGAATATCGAGAAAGGGCTTGTGCACCTGCAGGGCGTCGTAGAGCAGGATGTCGACGTCGATGACTCGCGGACCCCACCTGATTGCAGGCTCGCGCCCCAACCGGCTTTCGACGGCCTGCGTGATGGCGAGCAAGGATTCGGGGGCCAAGGTGGTGTGCACCCGCGCGACGGCGTTCAGGAAGGCGTCCTGCGCGGTGAGGCCGACCGGGGCGGTCTCATACAGCGACGAGAGGGCCTGCACGGCGATGGCCGGATGCTGGTGCAAGAGGCCGCAGACACGCGCGAGGTGCTGCTCGCGGTCGCCGAGGTTGGAGCCTAATCCGAGGTAGACGACTGCCATGATTCCTGCGAGCGTTCGATGTCGACGCCGACGTAGTCCAGCACGCTCCCCTTCAACGACACGTGCGGCTTGCGGACGCATATCCGCACGCCGTCGGGGGCAAACTGCTTGCCGATCTGCATCGCCAGCGTCTCGGCGAGTGCCTCGATGAGGTCGAACCGCTCCTCCTCGGCGATGCGTTTCACCAGCTTGTAGACCTGCGCGTAGTTGATCGTCTGCCCCAAGTCGTCACTCAACCCCGCCGGGCGCGCGTCCACCCGCAGCGCAACATCGACCTCGAAGCGCTGCCCGAGGGCCTTCTCTTCGGGGTTGACGCCGTGGTAGGCGTAAAACTGCATGTTGCGGAGGTGGATGGTGTCGCGGTTCAAGGGGTTGTCTCGGCGTGAGGAGAGGGCATCAGCGGCTGACGACCAGCGACATGAATTCACTGCGGGTGGCCTGATCGGTCTTGAACGAACCGCGCATGGCCGAGGTGACCATCAGCGAGCCGGGTTTCTTGACGCCGCGCATGGTCATGCAGGTGTGGGAGGCTTCCACGACAATGCCGACGCCGTGCGCGTCCAACTCATCAATCAACAGGTCGGCAATTTGCGCCGTCATGCGTTCCTGCACCTGCGGACGGCGCGCAAATACTTCGATAACACGGGCAATTTTGCTGAGCCCGACGACCCTGCCACGCGGAATATAGGCAGCGTGCACCCGGCCATGAAACGGCAGCAAATGGTGCTCGCACATGGAGTGAAACGGCACGTCCTTCACCAGTACCATCTCATCGTGCTGCTCGTCGAACACCACCTGCAGGTAGGCGCGGGGATCTTCGTGCAGCCCCTGGAAGAACTCGCCATACATCCTGGCGACCCGGCTGGCCGTGTCCTTCAGCCCCTCGCGGTCGGGGTCGTCGCCGATCGCTTCAATGATCATTCGCACGCCGGCGGCGATTTTTTCCTGATTGATCACGCCGTTCACTGCCGCGGCGTCAGCTTGCTGCATCGCATGGTCTCCTGGAGTTGACATTGGGACGTTGAAGGCGTTCACCTTACAGGCTTTTCCGGCGAGCTGCAAACGGCTGCGCCTTGAGCCAAAGCCAATATTATCCCTCGGGCCCGGCCGCCTCAGCCATCCGACACCACAACGGCTTCCGACTTCGTACTCGCCGCAAACGGCTGATACAGCAGGCGTTCGGGGTGCATTTCGGGGCGCATATGGCGCCTATATTGATTTGGAACTGTTGCGCCGCCCGTAGCCCATGATCGTCGCCCTGAGCCACATGGCGGCCTCGATGAAAAGGGTTGATGGCGACATGGGAAGCGGTTATTCGCACACCGCCAGCTTCTCAAGCTGTGTGAAATCGCCGTTTTCGTATTTCGTAACGGTAGGCTGCGACATCATCCGCGTTTGCGGATTGATCTGACGACGCCGCATCATAGGTGTCAGCCCAAGTTCGACTTCCGGCAGATGGCCGCCATTCCAACGTCACGCGGAAAGCGCATCGTACGGGTTATCTTTCAGGTCTCGAGCCAGCATCTCCTGGTGGCTCAGCCATGCCGTGAAATTGGCGCATATGGCGGTGTAGTGCTCGGCGTTGTCGATGTCCAGCGTGCAGCCGCCGTACGGGGTCGTCACAATGGTGAAGCGGGTGCTCAGGAGTTGCGACAACAGGCTGCACACAGCCTGCAACGGCATGAAGATGGGCCGGGCGAGCCGGTAATCCCGCAAGCCGTAGCGGGTTAACAGGCGTGCCGCGTGCAAGCGCAGGAACGCGCCAATGAATTGCAGGGAGCCGTGCTGCTTGCCAATCAGTTCCCAACACAGCTTCAAGATGTTGTGCCATTCCTTCTGGTACCGGTATTCGTACATCTTCTCAATATAGAAACGGTTGCCCAGCCGGAAGGGCTTCACCATGTGAAGGTTGTTCTGGCGAATCTGCATGTCGCGCAGGTTGAAATACGCCATTTGGATGCCGGGCCGGCCATGCCGCGGATAGTAAGCTCGCAGCACCTGCTCCGACGTCATGCCCAGGAAATAGTCGTACCGGGTGACATCGCAGCTTGCGACGAACGCCTCAATTTCCTGCGGGGTCGCCAGCGGGATGTCGCCCGACATGAAAAGAACTGCCTTGTCGGCCTCCGGCCTATCCAGATAGGCTTGCCAGCCGGTTTCAGGCGCGTAGTCCGGCAGGGTGTGCAGAAAACCTTGCCAGACGTTTTCGTAGAAGGTGTGGTATTGCTCTAGCAGGTGCAGGGGGCGCTTGCCCTGAAACGGGCTGTGGGGGCTGGCGAGGGCTTCTTCAAGCTGCGCGGTATCGCCGACAACAAAGATGCGGTCGGTACAGCGGGCGCGTTCGACGGCGCTGATGACGTGCGTAATGACCGGCGCGCCGGCCACGGGCAACAGGATTTTGTTGGTGCCCAGAATCGCACGGCTCGCCCGACGGTTTCCCGCCGCGATAATCACATCGAAACGCTGAGGCGTCGGCAACATGGTCGGTTTCGTTTCCGCTGACGGATTCCAGATTGAGGTGCCTACTATACGGGGCAGCTTCCGCAGGATCAATTGCCACGATGCCCTGCCGGTTTGTGGCGGCGCCGCGCCGCTGCTAGAATGCCGTCGCTTTGTGATTCCCGAATGGCCCGAACTGAGGAGACAAATGACGGTGCAACGTTTCTGGTCCAAGCTGAGCGGTCTCGTGGTGCTGGCGTGCATGCTGGCGGGTTGCGGCGTGCAGGCGTCCTACATGCAGGGCTGGGACCCCGTGGAGGACATCACGAACCGCTGGACAAGCGGCACCCTCAGCACCGACAAGCTGTCTGACGATGAGCGCAGCGTGTTCGAGGAATTCGGCACGCCGGACGTGCTGCGATTCTTTCGCGACGTCGAATCCCGCAAAGCCGTCTACGAGTGGATCTACATGGAACCGTTTCGCACCGTGTGGTTTATGGACGGCACGCAGGTGGACTACGTCATGGTCGATACCAACGCGTCGAGGCAAACCACCGCGGCGCGTGAGGCGCTCGCCAGGAAGCTGAGGACGGGCGGGGTATTGGCAGGAACCCTCGGCAGCGTTGCGGCGGGAACGCTTTCACTCCTCAACGAATAGAACGGACGGCTCGTCCACCATCCTGCTACCGTCCGAAAATCCTACCAACGTCCGCGCGCCCGCTCCTTGCCCGGCAGCACTTCCAGGCAGGTCGTCCACCAGCCGGAGCGGATCGTCTCGACGAACGCCTCGGGCAACTGCTCTTGCCGCATGTCGCGCGCCAACGCCTCGTAGTCGTAATACACCGGAATGAACGCCACCTGCAGGTCGGGGTCGGCCGTCAGCAGGGTGTACCAGACGTGCGTCTCGCCGTCGTTCTCCGGGCGCCCGATAACGCCGACGTTCACGGCGTGCCGATCGTCCGGCAGGCGGCGATGCCACTTGATCCCCGTATGGGTGCACAACAGCACGTCCCCCTCGTAGTCGCCGCACAGCTTGCTGAGAAAGCCGTCCGGCGTCGTGCTCTCCCAAAGAAATTCGTTCACCTGCCGCGGCGAGCCGTGGGACATGTGCAGTTGGTAATTTCCCAACTGCACGCGCAGCACGTCCGGCAGGGTGCGCAACCAGCGCTTGTTTTCCTCCGAGGTGTGCCGAAAGGTGTATTCGTAGCTCAGCGCCGCGTAGTAGTTGTCGCGCGGGTCGGTGTAGCCGCAACCGCAGTCTGTCAGCCCTTCGGCCAACGAGACGTCGTAGTTACCGCGCATGACCTGCACGCCGGATTCCCGCAACAACGGATAAACACGGTCCGGGCAGGGACCGAAGCCGCCCAGGTCGCCGAGGCAGAACAGCGCCTCAGCTTGCGCCGGCGGGCGTCCTCGATCGTCGCGGCCAGGGCCTGGTAATTGCTGTACACCCCACCGAAGACGGCGATGCGGCGATAGAACATGTTGTCCTCAGTAGTTGCTGCACGTCATGCCGGTGACGTAGCAGGTATGGCAGGCTGTGTGGTAGAGCGAGCAGGGCTGCATCGCCTCACTGAGCGAGTCCGTCGACAGGCGGGCTTCCGGCTCCCCTACCAACAGCGGACAGGCGTAGACGCCGCCATCGGCAACGATGCGGGATTTGGTGCACTGCAGCGTGGAGACGTCGAAGCCGTGCATCATGCCGGGGGTGACGTATGCGGCGCCCGTTTCCGAGGAGTGCAGCTTTCCCATGGCGAACACGGGAATCACTTTAAGGCGTGGTTTTTCGATGCCGTTTTCCAGCAGGAAATCCCGGAATTTCTGGTAAAAGCCGCTGCCGCTGCCCGGCTCCTGCGGGGTTGTCCCCTGCGCCTCGTAGAAGTATTCCGTTACCGCCACGATGGGTGGCAGTCCCCGCTCCTGTAGCAGCTGCAGCGCCCGCAACGCCCGGCGCAAGGCGCCCTTGCCGCGTACGGCGTCGTTTCGCGCCTCGTCCACGTCGTCCAGGCTGATGCGCATCTCCAGGGAATAACGCGACGTGGCGGCCAGTGTCGCCAACTCGTCGGCCACGGTCGGGGTGATCAGGGTGCCATTTGTCAGCACCGACGTGGCGGCCACCTGCAGCGAACGCGTCAGGATCGGGATGATCTGCTTGTGCAGAAACGGCTCGCCGCCGGTGAAGTACACCTCCCGCACGCCGTGCGTCTCGGCTTCGTCGAGGTATCGGTACACGGTCTCCGGCGCCACAAACTTGAGGGCGTGATTGGTCGGGCTACAGGATATGAAGCAGTGGCTGCACGCCAGGTTGCACAGGGTTCCGGTCAGTTGGAACCACAGGGCGTGCAGGTTATGGAAAGGTGCCTGGGGTATGGTCTGCATGATAGGGTTTCCCTGAGCCAAGAGGCCCTCGTGTTGACCGTGCCGGGGAGGTAGGTGTCGGTGGCGATTGTATCAGGCACCCAGATTTGCGACAATGACCGGCGTTTTTTCGAGTTCAAAACCGCCGAATAAGGGCTTCTGCGTGAACACCGACGTGCAGCAGGCGCTGGCGCATTGCCGAGAGGTGACCCGCCAGCAAGCCAGGAATTTCTATTACGCCTTTCTGTTCCTGCCCTCCGACAAGCGCGCCGCCGTCTACAGCGTCTATGCCTTCTGCCGCCACAGCGATGATATTGCCGACGAGCCCGGCACCCTCCACGACAAACAAGACCGACTAAGAGCCTGGCGCGACGAGTTGGACAATTGCTACAACGGCAGGCCGACGCGCCTCATCACGCGCGCTCTGCGGCACACCATCGAGCGGTATCCCATCCCACAACGCTACTTCCAGGACTTACTGCAGGGTGTCGAGATGGACCTGACCGTGCAGCGTTACGCCTCGTTCGACGACCTGCGGGTGTACTGCTACCGGGTCGCCTCAGCGATCGGCCTGGCCTGTCTGGAAATTTTCGGCTACCGCCATTCCGGCGTCCGGACGTATGCCCGCCATCTCGGCATCGCCCTACAGCTTACCAACATCCTGCGCGACGTCCGGGAAGACGCCGAGCGCGGCCGCATCTACCTGCCGCAGGAAGATTTACGGGCCTTTGGCGTCCGTGAGGACGACGTGCTGCAGAGACTTTACACGACGGCCTTTGCTGCGCTGATGCAGTTTCAGCAGGAGCGCATCCTGAGTTATTACCGCCGAGCCGCCGCCTGCCTGCTGCCGGGCGACCGGGCCGGACTGATGGCGCCGGAAATCATGGCCGCCATCTACCGCGCGACGCTTCACAAGATGCGACGCCGGCACTTCAACGTCTTTCGCGGCCGCACGCGCCTGTCAGGACTGCACAAACTGGCCATCGGCCTGGGGACGTTCGTGTCGCTGCGGACCCGCGACAGGTGGCCGGGGCGACGCCAAACGGCAACCGGCAGCGGATGAGGAGAACGCCGTTGACAACCCAGCGCCCCAGCGGTTCCATGCAGGCGGCGGTTCTCTATGGACCGAGCGAAGTTGCCATCGAAACGCTGCCTGTCCCCGACATCGGCCCGGGCGACGTGCTGGTTCGCGTGGCCGCTGCCACCACCTGCGGCACCGATCTGAAGGTGTTTTTGCAGGGTCGCCACGCGCGCATGCTGACGCCGCCATCGGTCTTCGGACACGAGTTCAGCGGCACGGTGGCGGCTGTCGGCAGCCAAGTGCGGGGATTCGAGCCCGGCATGCGGGTGGCGTCCAACAACTCAGCGCCGTGTGGGTGTTGTTACTACTGCGTCCGCGGGCAGCCAAACCTGTGCGACGATCTGGTGTTCATCAACGGCGCCTATGCCGAGTACATCGCGGTGCCGGAGCGCATCGTACGCACCAACCTGCTGCGCCTTCCCGATGACCTCGCTTTTCCCGTCGCGTGCATCACCGAACCCCTGGCCTGCGTGCTGCATTGCCTGGACCTGGCTCATTTTGCGACCGGGGACACCGTCGTGGTGAACGGTGATGGCCCCAGCGGTCTGATGTTGGCAGCCATGGCCAAGCGGCGCGGCGCGCGGGTGATACTGTGCGGCCGGGCACCGCAACGTCTGCGGGTGGCACAGCAGTTCGGTATCGAATGGCTGGTCAACTACGCCGAGGTACCCGATCAGGTCGAGGCGGTGCGCGCCCTGACGGAAGATCGTCGCGGCGTGGAAGTGGCCATCGAGGCGGTGGGACGCCCCGATGTCTGGGAAACCACCACGGCGATGGTCCGCAAGGGCGGCCAAGCCATTTTTTACGGCGGCCCCCCTGGCGGCACCAGCATGCGCGTGGATGCCCCGGCTCTCCACTACGACCAGATTACCTTGCAGGGCGTATTCCACAACACACCCGCGCACGTCGCGCAGGCCCTGGAAATCCTGACGGATCCCACATTACCTTGGGCCTCGTTATTGAGTGCCACCTTGCCGCTGGCCCGTCTCCCGGAGGCTTTCCAATTGATGATGGCCCGTGAGGCGCTCAAGGTAGTCATCCTGCCGACACCGCAGCCAGATTGAACTTACCCCCAATTTGGGCAGGGAATTTGGGGTTTTTCGCCGCCACATTTTCGGCTACGCCCTTGACTTTACGGGCGGGAATGTGGAACGCTATAGACGAAACTCCCGCATAATAAGGGGGTTAGCTTGTACATTTTGTTAGAGTGCTTACGTGCTGCGACCTACGGTAAGGAGGTAAGGACATATGACGAAAGGCCGAATTCATTGATCAGGTAGTCAAGTCTGCGGGCGTGGAACTCAGCAAGAAGGACGCTGCCGGGGTCCTGGACACCGTTTTTAGCGTCATCGGTAAAGCAATCAAGGACGAGGATCGCTTTTCCTATCCGGGGTTTGGCACCTTTACAGTCAAGGAGCGATCAGCCCGCAAGGGCCGCAACCCGCGTACGGGCGCTGCGATCGACATCAAAGCCAGCAAAACTGTCGGCTTCAAGCCGGCTCCCGGCCTCAAGCAAAATCTCGTCGCTCCGGCAAGACGACGCCGTTAAGTTCTGAAATACCTGCACCAGACCATTCGGGGCGGAGAGTAACGGCCAACACCCAACAAACGCAACTCGCCGCCCCTGATCAATATCCCAGAGCGCATCCATCTTTCCGATAATCGCTCCCACCTTGCAAGACACCTCGTTCGTGATCGATCAAAATGGCTTGGCCGCCGCCGTAAGATACGTTTTGCGCGCCGCGCGGCCACAGTTCGTGCCCCATAAAGCCCAACTCGTCCCGCACCACCTGCGGGACGGCGTGTTCCAGCGCCACTTCGCGGCCGCCCATGATGCGACAGCGTGGCGCCTCCAGAGCCTCCTGGACGTTCATGCCAAAATCGATGCTGTTGAGAGCTACCTGCACGTGCCCCTGCGCCTGCATGTGGCCGCCCATGACGCCGTAACACAGCCACGGCTTGCCGTCGCGCAGAATCATCGCCGGAATGATGGTGTGGAAGGGGCGCTTACCCGGTTGCAAAGCGTTCGGATGGCTGGGGTCGGCGACGAAACCGGCACCGCGGTTCTGCAGACAAATGCCCGTGTCACCCGCCACGATGCCGGAACCGAAACCCTGAAATAGGCTGTGGATCAAGGAGACGACGTTACGCTCGGCGTCCACGCAGGAGACGTACACCGTGTCGCCGAGGGCCGCCGGCGTGCCGGGTGAAAAATCGCCGGCGCGCGTGGGGTCGATCTCCTGGCGACGAGTAGCGGCGTAGGCTTTGGAAAGCAACCCCGCGACCGGCACGCTCGCGAAGGCGGGATCGGCGATGTAACGGTTGCGGTCCGCAAAGGCCTGCTTGGTCGCCTCGATGAGGAGATGGTAGTACGGGGCGGAGCCGTATGCGTGGGCCGCGAGGTCAAAACCCTCGAGCACGTTCAGGGTCATCAGGGCGGTGATCCCCTGGCCGTTAGGCGGCAGTTCCAGGACGGTGTGACCGCGGTAATCGGTGCCAATGGGCTCTACCCATTCAGTGGTGTGGGCGGCGAAGTCTTCCAGATCAAAAAAGCCACCATCGGCCTGCGAGAACGCCACGATGTGCTTGGCGATGTCGCCGCGGTAGAAGGCGTCGCGCCCTTCGTCAGCGAGGATCCGCAGCGTTTCGGCGAGGTGGGGTTGTCGATGGATGTCGCCGGCCCGCGGCGCTTTGCCGTCAATCAGGTACGCTTGGGCACTGGCGGGATGCTGCGACAGCAGCGGCGCGTCATGTTGCCATTGATCGGCAATGACCTCGCTCACCGGAAAGCCGTCGCGCGCATACATCAGGGCGGGTTCGACGACGTCCGCGAAGCTGAGCCTGCCGTGCCGCTCCAGCACCTCCGCAAAGGCGTCGATGGCCCCGGGCACGGTAACCGACCCCCAGCCCTTTGACGGCACGCCCTCGATGCCCCGCTGCCGCAAAGCGTCCAGCGTCAGGCGTTTGGGGCAGCGCCCACTGCCGTTGACCCCGTAGATGCGTTGGTCGGCAGCTCGATAATAAAGTAAAAAAGCATCCCCACCGATGCCGGTGGACATCGGCTCCACCACGCCCAGCGTCAGCGCCGTGCCGATGGCAGCATCCAGTGCGTTGCCGCCCTTTTTCAAGATGGCCAGCCCGGCCTCGCTGGCCAGAGGCTGGCTGGTCGCCACCATGCCGTTGCGCGTTATGACGACCGAACGCCGTGCCGCAAATCCGTCGCGCTCAAGGCGACTGGTCTCAAACATGTTTTCCCTCCTGGCGTAAACGATTCCATATGCCGTCCATTTCTTCCAGCGTCGCATCCTCGATTCGCCGGCCGCGCCGCGCGAGTTCCTGCTCGATACCCCGGAAACGCTGCTCGAACTTGCCGATGGCTTGGCGCAAGGCGTCCTCGCCGCTCAGGTGCAGGAAGCGCCCGAGGTTCACCAGGCTGAACAGCACGTCGCCGAACTCTTCCTGCATGGCGGCGCCGTCCCGTGCCGAGCAAGCCTCCTTCAACTCGTCAATTTCTTCGGCCACTTTGGCCCATACGTCGTCCACCTCCTGCCAGTCGAACCCGACGGACGACACTTTTTCCTGCAGGCGCCGCGCCCGGTTGAGGGCCGGCAGGGTGCGAGGCACACCATCCAGGACCGACGTCCTCCCCTTTTCCTGCTGCTTCGCGGTCTCCCAGCGTTGCCGAATCACCGCCGTATTCGCCGCTGGTTGATCCCCGAACACGTGCGGATGCCGTCTGATCAGCTTGTGAATCACGCTACGGATGCTGTCGCCAAGCATAAAACGCCCCGCCTCGGCGGCCAGAGATCCTTGAAAAACGACGTGCAGCAGCAAATCCCCAAGCTCTTCCTTCAACGCCCCCGCGTCGTCTGCCGTAACGCTTTCCATCACCTCATACGTCTCTTCCAGCAGATACGGCAGCAAGCTCTGCGCCGTCTGCTGCCGGTCCCACGGGCAGCCCTGCTCGGACCTCAACCTGTCCACCACGCCCATAAGTTCCAGCAGCAACTCCCCGGTGGCGTCGCTCTTGCCCTCAGTACTGTCCAGCCTAACTTCGTCCACCCGTTTCATGTCGTCCTCTTCTGTCGCCCGTGCCACTGAATGTTGTCCCGCAACCGAGATGCCGCCCGCATTCTACCGTTGGCCCCGATCCCGAACAACTCGCCGTTACCCACAACGCAGCGGATTGACACCCCAGAAATATCCAGGTAGGAAGGAAATGTTTGCATTGTCAGTAGCTGATATCGCCAACCTCAAGGTGCGAGGGAATTCAGGTGCAAGGATTCACGCCCAGCCCGCCGCATGCGATGCGAGCCGTCGGCACAACGGCATCGTGGCTGCCCTTCCTCGCGGTAGGCGCCCTTCTGCTGATACTAGGGGAAACAGGACGGGCGCAGAGTCTGCCGCCAATAGAGGCGTTGGAACGCCGGCTCACGCAAACGGCCACCGTGCAGGACATGATCGCATACGCGTACGGCGTAAATCCCGACATTGCCGCGGCGCGTGAAGCCTGGCGCGCCAAGGTGGAAAGCTACCGCGTTGTAACCGGCCTGCCGGATCCGCAACTGACGGCCACCTACTTCCCGGAGCCTTTGCAAACCCGTCTTGGTCCCCAGGATTGGAATGTCACCCTCTCCCAGAAAGTCCCCTTCCCGGGCAAGCTGTCGAAGGCCGGTGAGGTTGTCAAGACAGAAGCCCATATCGCCCGTCTGCGCGCTGGATAAAACCGTGCGGACGATTGCCGCGAGTATCCAGGCGTCGGCACATGAATTGATTTACATTCGCGCCGCCAGGCGGATTGCGGCCCAAAACGCGGCGTTGCTCGACCAACTGCGCAGCGCCGCCGAGACGGCCTATGCCGACGACCGGGCGATGCTGCTGGACGTGATGAAAGCCCTGTCACAGTCCGGGCAACTTCGCTATGACGCACTCCTCCTGGACGAGTTGGAGTTGACCGAGATCACCCGCCTGAACGGCCTGCTCAACCGTCTCCCGCAGTCGGCGGTTGGCGAGATTGCCCCGCCGCCCCTCCAGCCGCTGCCGGACAGCCTCGAAGACCTCTACCAACTGGCCGCCGCGCATCAGGAAGACATCCGTATTGCCGAGCAAGGCGTGAGCCGGGCCGAGTCGCAGGTCGATCTGGCGCGCTACCACTACTACCCGGATTTCAATGTGGGACTGTTTTACGCCTCGATCGGCGATCCGGATACCCCCCAGCGGCCGCCGCAGGCAGGCAGGGACGCCCTGGGCGTACGGCTTGGCCTGACCTTGCCGCTGTGGATCGGCAAAAACCAGGGCCGCGTCAATCAGGCGCGCGCTGAACGGGCCAGGGCGGAGGCACTGCGGCAGGGCCGCGTCAACGCCTCGCGCACCGACATCCACGTGGCCTATTTTCGCCTGCAGAACGCCCAACGCTTGGTCGAACTTTACCAGACCGACCTACTTCCGCAGGCGGCGAGCGCCCTGGAAACCACCGAGGCCTGGTTTCGCGAGGGATACGCCGAGTTCACCGACCTCATCGAGGCCCAGTCGACCTGGTACAACTTTCAGTTGACGCTGGCCAGGGCTCAGGCTGACTATGGCAAAAACTTCGCGCGCCTGGAGGCACTGGTGGGGCATCCCTTGACGCCGCAGGGGCCGCCGACAGCCGCACCCCATGAAGGGAGGCCAGGCCCATGAAACGCGGACTGGTCTGGCTTGTCGTCCTGATAGGACTTGGGGCAACGCACGCTCGCGGCGATTACCGGGATTTGCGGACCGCCTTTGAGCAGTACCAGCCCCCTTCGCACTTGTTCCACCTCCCCACCGAAGCACCGCCCGAAACGCCTGCCCAAAACGACGCCTTCGAAGCCGAAAAACAACGCCTCCTGGACCTCCAGACACGCTGGCAGGAAGAACTTCGGGACCTGTCGGCGCCTACGGCGTTCTACCATCCAGACTCGCGGACTTTGGAGGATTTGACGGGCGCGCAGGCGGATACTGCGGCGGCGCAAGCCGCCGTGAGCCAGCCATTTTCCCAGGCAGTGCCGGAGGTGCTGGCCCTGCTGCGTTCGCCCGCGGTGAAGGCGGCGGAGCACCGGGTGCGGGCGGCGCTGGAAAAATACAGCCAGGTCAGCGCTGTCGACGACATCCTGCGGCGCTATAGCGCCTTCGCGGAAGGCGCCATGACCGGGGTTGGCGCCATGCGAGGGCACGGCGGGGGGCGGGGTCAGTTTCCCTTTCCGGGGGTGCTGGCGCTGAAAGGTCAGGTGGTGACCCAGGACGTCATGGCGGCTCGTGAGCAGTTGGAAACCGCACGCCGCGATGCGGTGACCGCAGCACGCAAAACCCACTGGCGGCAGTGGTTCCTGCACCAGGTGCTGTCGATCACCGAGCGCACCATCGGGCTGTTGAGAGAATTGGAGCAGGTGTCGAGCACCCGCTACGAGGCCGGCAGGACCAGTTTCCAGGACGTGATCAAGGTGCAGGTGCAGCGCGAGTTGCTGGACGAACGGCTGGTCACGCTGCGGGAGCAGTTGCGTAATGCGCACGTGGAGACCCGGCAGATCCTCCACCTGCCGCCGGACACCCCGATTGGCCTGCCGCAAGTGAACCTGGCCGGGGCCGACATCCCCGATTTGCCGTCGCTCTACGATATGGCCGTCGCGGGCCGCCAGGAGCTCAGCGTGCTGCGCGCCCGCATTGGCAAGATGGACGCCATGATCGAGATGGCCGAAACCATGCTCCTGCCGGCCTTCGATCTGGGTCTTTCCACCTACAAAGACCAAGCCATCAGGCAAGTGGGAACACAGGCCGGGCAACCAACATTCGCCACCAGGACAGACGCTGCTGCCGGTGCGGGACAGCCCAAAAAACCCTGGTTCGGTTTCGCTGATGCCTATCTGCGTGAGATGCGGCAGAAGCGCCAGGCCATGCAGGAAGAATTGAACCGACTGCAAGACGCCACCGTCGCGCTGGTCCGCAACAAGTGGTTTGTTCTCGACCGAGCAAAACGTGAAAAACGATTGTACCAGAACACCTTGGTGCAGCTATCGGAAGCCGCCCTGGAGGTCTCGACCAGCGGGTACGAATCGGACAGGGTGGCGTTTGCCGACGTGATTGCATCCTATACCCTCTGGCTCGACGCCAATCTCGCGCTGGCCGACAAGCGCAGCGCCTATGGGATAAGTCTGGCGGAACTCGAGCAGGCGGTGGGGCAATCCTTTACGCAGCGCCGGAAAGAGTAGGCCGCCGGCTGCGCCAGGTCACTTTTGGAGGTGTAATGAAATGGAGACTCCCGAACAGAAACCGAAAGCCGCATCGCCACTGCGCACCATTGCCATAACCGCGCTTGTAACCCTGGCGTTGAGCGGTGCCGCGTATCACTATTTCGGGAACGCCATCCTTAACGTGCAGAGGCACTTGGCGGCGCCTTCCGTGGCTGGGGAAGCACAGGCGGAAGAAACTGTCTACGTGTCCCCGATGCACCCCTGGATCGTCTCGGATGAGCCCGGCCAGTGCCCGATCTGCGGCATGGACCTCGTTGCCAAGCGGGACGGGCCGAACGCCGCCGAATCCTCCGGCGAACGAACCATCGCCTACTGGCGGGCGCCCATGAATCCGGCGGAAATCTATGAACAGCCGGGGAAAAGCGCCATGGGCATGGACCTGGTGCCGGCCTACGAGGACGAACTGGTTGGCGGCGTGGACATCTTCATCGATCCGGTGACCCAGCAAAACATGGGCATCCGCACCGCCGAGGTCGCCCGACAGTCGCTGGTGCGCACATTCCGCACCTACGGACACGTGACTTACGACGAGACCCGCACGGTACGGGTCAGTCCCAAGGCCAGCGGCTGGATCGAAACCCTGCACGCGGACTTCACCGGCAAGTCCGTCACCGAAGGCGAACCCCTGTTTGAAATCTATGCGCCGGAGTTGGTCACGGCGCAGGAAGCGTACCTGGGAGCCTTTCAGAGCGCCAAGCGGCTGGCGAAGGACAGGCCGAGACCGGCCTGCTGGCCTCGGCACGCCGGCGCCTGCAGTATTTCGATATCGCCGACAGCGAAATCGAGGCGCTTGAAACCACCGGCCAAGTCCGTAAAACCCTGGTAATTCGCTCACCCGCCAGCGGCGTCGTCATCGAAAAAACGGCAGAGGAAGGCGGCTACGTCAAGGCCGGGACGACAATCTACCGGATGGCCGATTTGTCCCGCGTGTGGGTGGAAGCCCACATCTTTGAATATGAGCTCCCCTGGGTCAGGGAAGGCCAGGCAGCGGAAATGACGCTTCCCTACTGGCCTGGCGACGTGCGCTCCGGCAGGGTGACCTACGTGTATCCCTATCTGCGGGCCCAGACGCGGGACGTGAGGCTGCGGCTGGAATTCGACAACGCCGACCTGCGCCTCAAGCCGGACATGTACGCCGACATCCACATTGAGACGCACGCCGACGAGCAGGGCCTGTTGCTCCCCTCCGAGGCCGTGCTGCGCTCCGGCGAGCGCAACTTGGTGTTCGTGGTCAAGGGCGGCGGCAAGTTCACGCCGCGCGAGGTGACCCTCGGCCTGTCCACGGACGGCGGCAAGGTTCAGGCCCTGGCCGGCCTGGCGCCGGGCGACGTGGTGGTGACGTCGGGGCAGTTCCTCCTCGACTCGGAATCCAAGCTGCAGGAGGCCGTGCAGAAAATGATGGAAATCAGCATGGCTTCAGCGGGACCCGGTCAGAACGCAGACGAGGATGACTTCTTCAGCGACATGGACGACGACGCGGAAGAAGCCTTTTTCGCCGACATGGAAGAAGCCGAACCCAAGAAGACCACCTCCCCATGATCGAAGCCATTATTGCCTGGTCCATGCGCAACCGCTTCATGGTCGTGCTCGTCACGGTCTTCGTGATCCTCGGCGGTGTCCTGGCCATGCAGGGAACGCCGCTGGACGCCATCCCCGACCTGTCGGACGTGCAGGTCATCATCTACACCAAGTACCCCGGCCAGGCGCCGCGCGTGGTTGAGGATCAGGTCACCTATCCGTTGACCACCGCCATGCTGAGCGTGCCCTACGCCAAGGTAGTGCGGGGCTACTCCTTCTTCGGATTCTCTTTTGTCTACATCCTTTTCGAAGACGGCACCGATATTTACTGGGCGCGTTCGCGCGTCCTGGAGTATCTCAACTTCGTTGCCGGTCGCCTGCCCGCCGGCGTCACCCCCAGCCTCGGCCCGGACGCTACCGGCGTCGGCTGGGTGTATGAATACGTGCTGCAGGACACCACCGGCACCTACGACCTGCAGGAGTTGCGCAGCATGCAGGACTGGTACCTGCGCTACGAGCTGACGTCGGTCCCGGGCGTCTCCGAGGTCGCCAGCATTGGCGGCTTCGTCAAGCAGTACCAGGTCGAGGTCGATCCCAACCGGCTGTTGGCCTACGGCTTGTCCATCCAGCAGGTCAGGCACGCCATCCAGCGCTCCAACGACGACGTGGGCGGCAAGCTGGTCGAGATGGGCGAGACCGAGTTCATGGTGCGCAGCCTGGGCTACATTCGCTCACGGGAGGATCTGGAGCAGGTCGTCGTGGCTGTGGACAGCATGGGCACGCCGGTGCTGCTGAAGAACATCGCCGCCATCCAGCTGGGTCCCGAACTGCGGCGGGGCATCCTGGAATGGAACGGCACCGGTGAAGCCGTCGGCGGCATTGTGGTGATGCGCTACGGCGAAAATGCCCTTGAGGTCATCCACAACGTCAAGGCAAAGCTGCGCTCGCTCCAGAAGGGCCTGCCGGAAGGCGTGGAGATCGTCGTGGGCTACGACCGCTCCAACCTCATCAAGCGGGCTATCCACACCCTGCAGACCAAGCTGATCGAAGAGATGGTTGTCGTTGCAGCGGTCTGCGTCATCTTCCTGCTGCACGTTCGCTCGGCCCTGGTGGCGATCGTCACTCTGCCGGTGGGCATTCTCATGTCCTTCCTGATTATGTACCTCCTGGGCATCAACGCCAACGTCATGAGCCTCGGCGGTATTGCCATTGCCATCGGCGTCATGGTGGACGCCTCCGTGGTGATGGTGGAGAACGCCCACAAGCACCTGGAACGATACGGGGACACGAAAAGCCATGCAGCGATCATGCTCGACGCGGCCAGAGGGGTCGGTCCGGCCCTGTTTTACAGCCTGCTGATCATCACCGTGTCATTCCTGCCGGTGTTCAGCCTGACGGAACAATCCGGTCGCTTGTTCAAACCGCTGGCGTACACCAAGACCTTCGCCATGGCCGCCTCGGCGGTCCTGGCCATTACCATCGTGCCGGTACTGATGACGTTCTTCATTCGAGAACACGCTCTCAGCCCGTTCCTGTCGCGGCGCCAACGCCGCTGGGCGTGGCTGGCCGCCCTGGCCGGCCCGCCGCTGCTAGTCATCGTCGCCGGGGCCGCAGGGATGGAATTGCCGGAATGGAGCCTGGTCGCCGGGCTGCTGGCCTCCGGCCTTGCGTTTATCTGTCTGGCACGGCAGCGCATCCTCCCGGAGGCACGCAATCCGCTCAGCCGTTTTTTCATCCGCGTGTACCACCCGTTCATCCGGTTGGTGCTGCGATGGCGCAAAATCACGCTGCTCCTCGCCGTCATCATGCTCGCCGTGACCATCTATCCGCTCAGCCGACTGGGCAGCGAGTTCATGCCGCCGCTCAACGAGGGCGATTTTCTCTACATGCCGACGACCCTGCCGGGCATTTCGATCACCAAGGCCAAGGAGTTGCTGCAGCAGACCGACAAGATCATCCAGCGCTTCCCGGAAGTCCTGACGACCCATGGGAAAATCGGCCGAGCCGAAACGGCCACCGACCCGGCTCCTTTGTCGATGATCGAAACGACGATTACCCTGCGGCCCAAGGTCGAATACGAGCTCATACCGGTCCGGCGCGTTTTCACGGACTGGCCGGGCTGGCTCAAGAAGCCCCTCACCTTGCTGTGGCCGGGAGGTGCAGCGGGGCGACGTCGTGCATGAATGGCGTAAGAAACGCCTGGTGCGTTTCTACTCAAGCTGGCCGGGCTGGCTGAAAGCCCCGCTGGCCTGGATCTGGCCCGAGGAACGCTATCTGACCATGCAGGAGCTGGCGGACGACCTCGACCGCGCCATCCAGTTTCCAGGTCTGACGAATGCCTGGACCATGCCCATCAAAACCCGCATCGACATGCTTTCCACCGGCATCAAGACCCCTGTCGGCATCAAGCTCATGGGCCCCGACCTCGACGTACTCTCCGACCTGGGGGCGCAGATCGAAGCGGTGGTGCGCGACATTCCCGGCACCCTGTCCGTGTATGCCGAGCGCGTCACCGGCGGCAATTACCTGGACTTCACCATCGACCGTACCCAGATCGCCCGTTACGGCCTGACGGTTGGGGACGTGCAGGACGTGATCATGATCGCGATCGGCGGCATGAACGTCACCTTCACCGTCGAAGGGCTGGAGCGCTATCCGGTCAACCTGCGCTACAGCCGAGAGCTGCGCGACGACATCGACCGGCTCAAGCGAGTGCTGGTGCCGACGCCTGCGGGCGCCCAGGTGCCACTGATCCAACTCGCCGACTTCGCCATCCGCAAAGGGGCGGCCAGCATCAAAAGCGAAAACTCACGGCAGACCGCCTGGATCTACGTTGATCTGAAGGGCATCGATGTCGGCTCGTACGTGCGCCGGGCGATGGCCATCGTCGACCGCGGCGTCGAGCTGCCGCAGGGCTACTCCATCGTCTGGTCGGGCCAATTCGAATACATGGAGAAAGCCCGCCGCACCCTGCGCGTCATCGTTCCGGTCACCCTGGTGCTCATCTTCCTCCTCCTCTACCTCCACTTTCACAGCGTGACGGAGGCCATGATCGTCATGGCCAGCCTCCCCTTCGCCTTGGTCGGCGGCGTCTGGCTTCTTTATGTTCTGGATTACAATTTGTCGGTGGCAGTCGTGGTGGGATTTATTGCCCTGGCAGGCCTGGCGGCGGAAACCGGCGTGGTGATGCTGGTCTATCTTGACGAATCGTACCAGCACCGCCAAACCGAGGGCCGGATGAGTTCCCCCGCCGACCTGCAGGACGCAATCATTGAGGGGGCCGTGGACCGCGTGCGTCCGAAGCTCATGACCGTCTCGACCACCCTTATCGGCCTGCTGCCGGTGATGTGGGGCACGGAATCCGGTTCCGAGGTGATGAAGCGCATCGCCGCGCCCATGGTCGGTGGCCTCGTGTCGTCAACTATTCTCACGCTGGTCATCATCCCCGTGGTTTATGATATCTGGAAACGTCTGGTACTTTACAGGCGCGCACGACGACGGGTTCGTGCTTTGGCCCCCGATGGGCCGTAACGTCAGGAAAAAGGAAAACGCAATGTACGCCATTTTCACCACGATGCTCATCGCCTTGGTCTCGTTGTCGCTAGGCAGTGTCCCGGCCCTGGCCGATCAGCACCACGACATGCAGCAGATGGATCATTCCGGCCACAACGGCCCGAACATTCACAACTCGAGCGTGGACGGCTACAGCCTCGCCTATCATCTGATCGACATGCGGGAAAAGATGAAGGACATGGAAAACATGCCGGAGATGCAGGCAACGCATCACATGATGGTTTACGTGACCGGGCCCGACGGCGCGGTTCTTGGCCAGGCAAAGGTGGGCTACCTAGTCGTCGGGCCCGACGGCAACAAGCAGAAACTGATGGCCATGGGCATGAAGGACGGCTTCGGCGCCGACGTCGATTTCAAGGCGCCGGGCGCCTATACCGTCAGAACCAAAGCTGTCGCCAACGGCACGACGCTGCTGGACGAGTTCACGTATGAGGTGCAATAACCCGGCAGAAAAGACGCCCTTTCCGCGCTCTCACTCGAAGCCCCGGTGAAACGCAGCGCACACGTAGGCGAGAACGTCCCAGCGCTCGTCCTCACTGAGCAACGTTTTGAATGCCGGCATGAGCGATCCCGCTGACCTGAAGGGCTCCACCATTCCGCCCTCGCTGACGCGCCAGTACAGATAGGCATCCCCCTCCCCGGGATGCAGGTGGAAGTGGTGCATGAGGTCGGCGGGCGGATGCGGCAGGGTCTTGGCAAAGGCGGTGGTGCCGAGGCCGTCGGCGCCGTGGCAGGCGGTGCAGTGAGTGTCGTACAGTGTCTTGCCCCGCGCAATGGCACCGTCGGCGCCCCAGCGGTGGCTGACCTTGTCGGCGTACGCCGCGGGCGGGGTTCGCCAGTTCTGGTGCTTGTGGGTGTCCTGGTGGCTCTGGTGTTCGTGGTGATGATCGTGCTGCCCCGCTGCCGGCAGGACGGCCGACGTGGCGACCGACAACAGGACGGCAAGGCACAATCCGAAAACAACTCGCTGCATGAAGCGCTCCCTATCTCTTTTCCAATGGTAACTGACGGTGCGATTCGCCGGCAATGTAAGCCCGCAGGAGCGGCAGCACCGCCTGCCGCGCCCGTACGCATTCCTCGACGTGCGGAAAGCCGGACAGGATGAATTCGTCCACCCCCAGCTTCCAGTATTCATAGAGTTCCTCCGCCGCCTGCTGCGGGGTGCCGACGATAGCCGTGCCGCAATTCACGCGCACGGTGGCCAGGCCAGTCCACAGATGCCTTCCGAGCCGGTGCCGGTCCACAGTCGCGCCGGACGCCGCTTGTCCGCCAACCGCCACCGCCTGCCGCTGACGCAGCACCTCGGGATCGGCGTCGGCAATCAGGCGACGCGCCGCGTCCCACGCTTCGTCCGCGTCATCGCGTACGATCAGATGCGTGCGCAGGCCAAACGCCGGCACGCGCCCGCACGTTTCGTAAGCCGCCCGCACCCGCTCAATACGCGCCGCGATTTGTTCCAACGGCTCGATCCACAACAGGTACACGTCCGCCTCGCGCGCCGCCAATGCCTCGGCGCGCGGCGACGCACCGCCCTGGTAAAAACGCGGTGTTCCGAACGGCGGCGGCACACAGCGGGCGCCGCGCAGGGTGAGATGGCGGCCGGCAAAATCGGTCACCTCCCCGGTCCACAGCGCCCGGCAGGCGCGCATCAACTCCTCGGCCTGCGCATAACGCCCGGCGTGGTCGCTGTCGACCCCGAGGCGCTCAAAATCGTGCCGGATGCCGCCGGGCACGATGTTGATGTCCACCCTGCCGCGGCTGATTTGATCGAGCGTCGCCACCATCTTGGCCAGTAACCCGACGGCGATGAAGCCGGGCCGCACAGCGATGAGAAAGCGGATGCGAGTCGTCAGCGCCGCCAAGGCGGTCGCCGTGGTCCACGTTTCCATCAATGGCGCGCCTTCGTCGAACAGGCCGTTGACGAACCGCGTCGGGATCAGCAGCCCGTGAAAGCCCTGCTCCTCCGCCGTCCGCACCACCCGCGTCAGATAGTCGAAATCCGGCGGTCGCTCAGCCCGCGCCGTGCCGAGCCGGACGCCGTCGCCGTCGATGGGAATGAACCAGTGGAACAGTGGTTGCGGACGCGCCGCCGTCATGCCTGTATCTCCTCTCCACGCACCCCGCAGCCGCGCGGCGCCGTTTTGACTTGGCCGGTGGATTTCATTATAGTGCAACCCCTTGTGGGTCCTGTGTCAAGACAACGGCAGGGGCATGCGGCGCTTCGGTTTCCCTCGCCCCTTGCAAGCGGGTCGGCGCCCCAATGAGAGCGCGGCCCGAAGACGTGCAATCGCATGAGGAGAGGCACGATGACGGCTTCTGACGTTTATTACATGGACGCGCGCAGCGAGTCGCCCCAGACCGGTCTGGTGGCCAAGATGCTGACCGTATTCGAGGAAGCGGGGCTTGACGCGATGATCAAGCCGAACGACCTCGTGGCCATCAAAATTCACTGCGGCGAGTGGAACAACACCGCCTATCTGCGGCCCGTCTACCCACGCGCCCTGGCCGACCGTATCAAGGAGCTCGGCGGGCGGCCCTTCGTGTGCGACACCACCACCCTCACCTATTCGCCCTACGCCTCGCGGGCGACCGAGCTCGACATCATGATGACCGCCGAGCGCAACGGCTTCAGCTCCGCGGTGCTCGGCTGCCCGTTCATCTGCGCCGACGGCTTCATCGGCACCAGCGACTACCGCGTCGACGTGCCGACCGGCTACCTGCTCAAAGAAGCCTTCATCGCCCAAGCGATTGCCGCTGCCGACGTGCTGATCTGCCTCACCCACTTCAAGGGCCACCCGATGGGCGTCATCGGCGGCGCCATCAAGAACCTCGGCATCGGCTGCCAATCGAAGCGCGGCAAGCACAACGTGCACCTCGGCGGCCATCCCAAGTACAGCGTCGCCAACTCCGCCATCTGGCACCCGGAAAACTTCAAAGGCAAGGCCAACACGCCGGACTGGGACATCCTCGAAGAGTGCTGCCCCTACCACCTGTTCAAGGTCGAAGAGGACACGATTGAGTGGGACCGCGCCGCCTGCACCAGCTGCCTGGGCTGCCTCGGCATCATGGCGCCGCGCGGCTTGTTCGAGTTCCCGGAAGAGACGTTTGCCGCCACCGACGCCTCCATCGCCGATGGCGCCTTGGGCGCCGTGCTGGCGGTGGGCCGCGAGAAGTGCGGCTTCATCAACTTGGCCATCGACATCTCGCCGCGCTGCGACTGCGTGAACTTCTCCGACATGCCGGTGGTGCCGAACCTCGGTGTGTTTGCCAGCACGGACCCGGTGGCCATCGACATGGCTTGCCTGGACAAGGTGCGCGAGTCGCACGGCATGCCGGGCTCGATTGCGGACGATTTCGATTTGCTGGAAGCCGGTCAGAAGAAGTTCGAGACGGTGTCGGCCACGGTGCACGGCCTCAGTGAGGAAGCCCAGATCAACACGGGCACCCTGAACGGCCTCGGCAGCCGTGACTATAGCCTGATTGAGGCGGAACCGCAGCCGGCCAGCCGCCACCTGTTCGCGCTGGACAAGCGGCCCAGCGGCGTGCGCTTCGGCGCCAAGTTCATGAAGTTCTCGCCTTTCCCGTACGACCGCTACGACGGCCAGGGCTTCCTGCGCGAGCAGGAGGTAGACACGGAGTTCGTCAAGACTTGGCACGGTGGTAACGGTGGGGTGCCGGGCGCCTCGGGTACAGTCGAAGAGGCGGCAACGGGCGATTAGCTTCTGCGGGCGCGGCGTGCGGGACGACCCAACCCGGGGTCGCACGCCGTGCCCTGTTTGGTAGTTTTCACTTCAAATTCACCCCCTCACCCCAACCCTCTCCCTCCAGGGGAGAGGGAGTAAGACCCAAGCCTCTTTCGTCGGGGAGAGAGCAGCAGCCCAACCCCTTCCCTCCATCGGCAGAGGGATCAACAATCCCTCACCGGGACGGGGTGCCAATTTCTCCCTCATGGGGATGCTATGCTAGGGCGCAACACGGTTCCCCCCTTTGAAGGACAGGGCGCATACAATTCCCTCCCCCTTTGAGGGGGAGGGCTAGGGTGGGGGGAAGGTTTTATGAGCCAGCTAATTCAGGAGGTCAACATGGCAGCAGTAACGAAGGGTTTGGAGAACCTGCAAGAGGCCATCGGCACGTGCGAGCAGTTGGGCGCCAGCTTGGCCGACGCCACGGATGCCGAGGCGGTGAAGGCAAAGAGCGTGGTGCAGGAATCGCTTACGGCGTTTCACGATGTCAGCGACAAATTTTTCCTCAAGACCATGATGAGCGTGCCGCCAACCAAGGCTTGCCGAGTGGAGACCGCGGCGGTGGCGTCCCTGGTGTCTGAGCAGAAGTGGGACAGCCTGCCGGGCGCCCTGGAGAAGTTGCAGAAGGTCACCAAGACGCTGGTAACCAAGGCCAAGATGGACGGGACGACGATTACATGAGCGGTCCGATCCTCATCACCGGAGGCGCCGGCAGCGTTGGTCGCAGCCTGGTGGCTTGTTGCCGCGCTGATGGCTATCCGGTGCGTGTCTTCGACCTGCCGGTGTGCGACTTTACGGGCCTGGAAGGCGAAACGGGCATCGAGGTCGTCAAGGGCAACATTACGAAGCCGGAGCACGTCGAAGCCGCCGTTCAGGGCGTCAGCGGCGTACTGCACCTGGCGGCACTTCTGCCGCCGGCGAGCGAGGCCGACCGGTCGCGAACGTTTGCCGTCAACGTCGACGGCACCGCCACCGTCATCAACGCCATGCAGGCCGCCGCCAGCGACGCCGTGCTGGTGTTCAGTTCGTCGGTGAGCACCTACGGCGACACCACTGCCGAGGCGCCGCCGCTGGGGATGGAGCATCCCCAAACGGCGCTGGACCTTTATGCCGAAAGCAAGATCGCCAGCGAGCGCTTGGTGCGGGAGTCCTCGTTGCCCGTCGTGGTGCTGCGCATTGCCGGCATCGCCGTGCCGGTGCTCCAGGAACCCCCGGAGGTGTGGCCGTTCACCGGCGAGCAGCGCCTGGAAATGGTGCAGCGCGACGACGTGGTGACCGCACTGTACAAGGCCCTGACCTCCCCGGCGGCGCGCGGCAAAACCCTGAACATCGCCGGCGGTCCGACGTGGCAGACGACCGGGCGCCAATACGTCGCCGATCTGTACGACATCATCGGCGTGCCGGTTGAGATGGCGGCGTTCCGCAGCCAAGACGAGCCCGGCTGGGTAGACTGGTACGATACCGAGTTGTCGCAGCAACTGCTTGGCTATCAAGACCATTCGTACTCGGCCTACCTCGACACCCTACGCTCGGAAGTCGCCCGGCTGTTAGAGGACGACTGTTAGAAAGCTTGAGAAGAGGCACGTTGATGGCGATTTTATCACCCCCCTCCATCCCGCCCACTGCGGCTGACGCCGATACCATAGCCACCCTGGAAACCATCTCGCAGCGCGTCCTGTGGCTGTCGACGTACATGATCCACTACGCCAACAAGATTCGCCCCAACCCGGACGGCCTCAAGGTCGGCGGGCATCAGGCGAGCTGCGCATCGTCGGTCGACCTGATGACAGCGCTGTATTTCGGCGTCCTGCGCCCCGAGGACCACGTGGCGGTGAAGCCGCACGCCGCGCCGGTGCTGCATGCGATTCAATACCTGCTGGGCAACCTGCCGCGTCATATGCTGACCACCCTTCGCGACTTCGGCGGCCTGCAAGCCTACCCCAGCCGCACCAAGGATCCGGCCGGCGTGACTATTTCCACCGGCTCGGTCGGACTCGGCGCCGCGGCAACGATTTTCGGCGCCCTGACGCAGCGCTATGTGCGCGACCACTTCGGCAAAACCGACGGCCAGGGGCGCTACATCGCTCTGGTCGGCGACGCCGAGATCGACGAGGGCAACATCCCGGAAGCCATCGGCGAGGCCAGTGCCTACGGCCTGAACAACTTGTGGTGGATCATCGACATCAACCGGCAGAGCCTCGACCACATCGCCCCCGAGGGCCAGGTAGTGCAGATCGCGCGGCTGTTCGAGGCCAAGGGCTGGGAGGTATTGTGGCTCAAGTACGGCAGCCATCAGCAGGCATTTTTCGAGCGTCCGGGTGGCGACGGGCTGCGACGGTGGATCGATTCGTGCAGCAACGCCGAGTACCAGACGCTGCTGAACGCCGACGGCTCGGAAATCCGCCGCGCCGTGGTCGAGTGGGGCGTGTCGGTCGGTGCCGACATGCGCAGCGTCCTGGCCGACGTGCCCGACGCGGCCCTCAAAGACCTGCTGATGAACCTCGGCGGGCACGACATCCCGCAGATTATCGAGACCTTCGCCGCCGCGGAGGCGACGGACCGCCCGGTGGTCATCATGGCCTACACCATCAAGGGCTGGGGGCTACCGATTGCCGGGCACATCGACAACCACGCCGCCCAGTTGACGTCGGCGCACATCGCCGCCCTGCAGGAACAGTACGGCATCGCTGAGGGGCACGAGTGGGACGGCTACGAGGAGCCGGACCCCATTGCCGGCTGGATCAAACAGCGGCAGATATTCGGACGGAATGGCCGAGAACATGCTCCGGTGTCCCCGAGCCCGCCGCCGATTCCCGAAACGCTGAACATCCCCTTCCCCGAGAGCGCCGCCACGCAGGGAGCGTTCGGGCATATCCTGGTGGCGCTGAATGAATACGAGGACGTAGCGGCGCGGCTCGTCACCACCTCGCCCGACGTGGCGGTATCGACGAACCTGGCCAACTGGATCAACAAGCGCGGCATTTACGCGCCCGCCGAGAAGCCGAACTACTGGGCCAAGTACGACGTCACCAGCCTGCTGCGCTGGCAGGAAACCGCCTCCGGGCAGCACATCGAGCTCGGCATCGCGGAGAATAATTTCTACCTGGCCCTGACGATGCTAGGCCTGTCCTACGAATTCAACGGCGAGCTGTTGCTGCCCGTCGGCACTGTGTACGACCCCTTCGTGGCGCGCGGCCTTGACGCTCTGACTTACGCGACCTACGTGGGGGCGAAGTTCCTCTTCGCGGGCACCCCCTCGGGGCTGAGCCTGAACCGCGAAGGCGGTGCGCACCAGTCGATCTACACACCGCTGGTGGGCATGGGCATGCCGGGACTGATTTACTACGAGCCGGCCTACGCCGCCGAGTTGGAGTGCATGATGTGCTGGGGGCTGCGGCAATTGGCGGACCGCGACAACGGCCAGAGCCTTTACTTGCGGCTGTCGACCCGACCGATTACCCAGGCGGTTCGGCACTCGACCCCGGAATGGAGAAGGCAGGTCTTGGCCGGCGGCTACTGGCTGCGCGATTACCGCCAGGAGCGCGACTACACCGAACGCCCGCGCGTGCACCTGTTCGCGTCCGGCGTCATGTTGGAGGAGGCGTTGCAGGCCAGCAATCTGGCTTGCGAGGACGGTATTTACGTCAACGTCATCAACGTCACCAGCGCCGACCGCTTGTTCCGCGACCACTTCGAGGCCGCCGGTTCCGGGGCCGGTTCTTCCTACCTCGACGAGTTGCTCCCCACCGCCGACCGCCAAACCCCGGCGATTACCCTGCTCGACGGACATCCCCTGACGCTCGCCTGGCTCGGCACCGTCTTCAACGCCCCGCTCAAGCCCTTAGGCGTGGTGCAATTCGGCCAGACCGGCTCGGTGCAGGAGCTGTACCACCAGCACCGCATCGACACGGACGCTATTCTCACCGCGATTGTTCAGATTTTATTCGGCCAGTAAACGACACAACTCTTGGGTCGCCCCACACGGATCGGGCGCTGCCAGGACGGCGCGAATCATGGCGACGCCATGCGCCCCGGTTTGCCGCACCTGCAGCAAGTTGGCGGGCGTGATGCCGCCGATGCCCAGCACGGGTATCGGAACCTCGCGCACCACCGCGGCCAGTTGCGGCAGGCCCTGCGGCGGGCCGTAGGCCAGTTTGGAGGGGGTGGCGAAGACGGGGCCGAAGACCACGAAGTCGGCGCCGTCCTCCGCGGCTTGGCGCGCCGCGTCGAGGCTGTGGGTGGAAACGCCAAGGAGCTTGTCGGGTCCCAGCACACGGCGGGCGGTTCGGGTGGGCAGAGAGTGACCGGCAAGGTGAACGCCGTCAGCGTTCAGGGCCAGGGCGACGTCGAGGCGGTCGTTGATCAGCAGCGGCACCCGGTGGGGGCTCAGCACTTCTTGCAGGCGCGCGCCCAGGTCGTAAAGCTCGCGGGCGCTGAGATCTTTTTCGCGCAACTGCACGGCCAAGCTCGCTTCGCTTGCGGGCGCTCGCTCCGTTCGCTGTGTCCCGCCGCGCGCCGCGGCGGCGATCACCTCCGCCAAGGGGCGACCGGCGGTTTGCTGCCGGTCGGTCACCACGTAGAGGCGAAAGCCGCAATCATTCCCCCTGCCTCTGGGAGGGGTCAGGGGAGGGCGTGGTGTTTCAGGTGCCAATGATGCCCTCCAGGGGGCTGCTGGCGGTGGCGTAGAGCTTGCGCTCGATGCGCCCGGCCTTGTAGGCCAGACGGCCGGAGTCCACCGCCATGCGCATGGCGTTCGCCATGGCCAGCGGGTCCTTGGCGCCGGCGATGCCGGTGTTCATCAGCACGCCGTCCACGCCGAGCTCCATGGCCACCGTGGCGTCAGAGGCCGTGCCGACGCCCGCGTCCACGATCACCGGCACCTGCACCGCCTCCAGGATCAGCCGGATGGTGTAGGGGTTGCAAATGCCCAAGCCGGAGCCGATCGGCGCACCGAGCGGCATGACGACGGCGGCGCCGGCGTCTTCGAGTTTCTTGGCCATTACCGGGTCGTCGTTGGTGTACGGCATGACGATGAAGCCTTCCTTGGCCAGCACGCGCGTCGCTTCCAGCAAATCCACCACGTCCGGGAATAGGGTCTTCTGGTCGCCGATCACTTCCAGCTTGACGAAGTCCGACAGCCCCGCCTCACGCGCCAGCCGGGCGGTGAGAATGGCGGACTCGGCGTCGTAGCACCCGGCGGTGTTGGGCAAAATGGTGAAGCGGTCGCGGTCGATATAATCCAGCAGCGTTTGTTTGCTGTCCGGCAGTTCCATACGCCGCAGCGCCACGGTCACCATATCCGCCCCGGAGGCCTCGTGGCACTGCTGCATCAGTTCCATGGTGGCATACTTGCCGGTGCCGACGATGAGCCGCGAACCGAACGTTTTGCCGCCTATTTCCAGTAATTCGTCTTGTTGCATAACCCCTGTCTCCTATCCGCCGCCGACAGCCTGCACGATCTCGACGCGGTCGCCCGCCTGCAAGACGGTGTCCGCGTGGGCCCGGCGCGGCACGACCGTCATGTTCACGGCCACCGCGGTTCCTTGCCGCTCGGCCACGCCCAATGCTTCGAGCAGGCTGCGCACGGTACTTGCCTCTGGAATGGTGCGCTTATCGCCGTTTACGAGTATGTCGATCATCATGATTGGCCTGCACAAACAAAAAAAGCCGCCACGCCAGGGCGTGCGGCTTCAGCTTCCGTAAAGGACCCATTCTCTTGGCGCATCCGGCCTGCGGCCGTCGATGCGTGAATGGCGCTTCCCTACGCTGGCATTACCCAGGTCAGGTTCTGAGGGTTGTTACCAGGGACGTGAACCTCGTCCCAGTAACTCTCAGCGTCTCACACCCCTAGCGAATGGCCGTGACCTTAACAGAGGCAATAGGGTATTGCAAGGCTGAGACTCGGCACATCTTATGGCGTGGAAGGTCCACCTACAAGTGTCCGATGGCGGCATGGGTGCTCAGGGACAAACCATCGTCACGAGCCGGGCGGACTGCGGATAATGTCTCACGTCGCCGGTGGTAATCACCCTTCCACGGATTGAAGACGGGGACATCCGCCATGCGAAAGTCAGTCTCGTTTCGGGTGCAGACAACGAGGGAATGCACACGCGCGGTGGCCGCAATGAAGAGATCAGGCTGACTGAACGTAATCGAATGTTCCCGGCCCCGCGCCGCCATCCGGCGCCACTCCAGGATGACGGCCTCATCCACGGGCAGGATGCGCCCGGTAAACCACGGTCGCAGCTGATGGTCGAGCCAACTCGTAAGCTCGTTGCGAAACGCGGCGTCAGGCTGCCTTTCGATGCCATACCGAATCTCGGCGAGGGTGATGCTGCTGAGAAATAGGCTGTCTGCGGCTTGCGCGTCCGACCACGCTTTGACGTAATGATCGGGCCTCTTTTTTCGGAGTTCGGAAACCACGTTGGTGTCGAGCAGCCAGCCTTTCACAACTCGATCTCACGCACCGGGCTGCGAACGCCCTCTTCCTCGAAGGCGATACGGTTCAATGGCGATTCGGACAAGAGTTCGTGTAAGCTGGCCGATCTTTCCCGCGTCCAGAGGGCTTCAAACGCGTCCGCCGCGACGATGACCACGGCGTCTTTGCCGTGAACCGTCACCCGTTGCGGCTGCCCGGACGCCGCAAGTCGAACGATCTCGCTGAACTTTGCCTTGGCCTCACCCAGCTTCCAGCCGGGGGCTGGCACCGGGCCGAACGGTGTGGCTTGTCGAGTTCTGTTCATGAAATTCCTCCTTATGACCAAGTTAGTCAAAACTATAGAACATGGACGGAGACGTCAAGTCTCTCAGGCTGAGGACAGCGTTTCAGTTTGAACTTTGCTTGCGGTAAGATTTCGGGCGGTTCGGCTTTAGGTGTTTAATTTCGGCCCGTGAGGGCCATGATGAGAGAAGTCGGCGCATGCAAGGCCATAACCCACTTGTCCGCGCTTCTCGACGAAGTGGCCAGCGGGGAGATCATCATCACCAGACACGGGCGACCGGCGGCACGGTTAACGGCGCCTTACGAGTAAAGGTAACCGCCATGAAAAGAGTAGCGCTTTTCCTGTTCCTGCTCGCGGCCCTGAATGGCTGTGACGTAGACGATCACTATCACGCGGACCAACCTCTGTGCTACGACCTGGTGCCCGGAAGACGACTATCCGGAGGCGAGTTGAGCGCTCTGGAACACGCTCTCGGACACCGCCTGCTCGTAGACTTCAATGACGATCTGTCCTTCGACAACCCCATCGGCCCCGGACGCTGCTACGGCGAGTGGCACCATGGTGAATGGGAAATCGACTGCGAAAGGGACGTCGTCGTCAACTGCAGCGACCCTTGACCGGCTGAGCGTACTTTGTAGATGGAGACGTAAACCAGAAAGTGGAAGTGGGGGCGGCTGAAATTGGGATGTCACCGACTTATGGGTCAGACTCTCTGTCTGATTATCTGATTGCGGAGATTCAGCGTCATATCGAGTATCCAACCCTGGATGGGCTACGCCAGCGGCTTCGGGCCCGAACCCCGGTTCGCCCAATCGTTTCGCCGGCCCAAATGATCCGGGAAGAACGGGACAGCCGGTGATTGTTGTGGACGCTTCGGCGGTCATTCAATTGCTCTTGGGAACGACCACCGCGTCCGATATTCAGATGCGGCTTCTGGAATCCGGCGAGTCTCTTCACGCGCCGCATCTGCTTGATCTTGAGATCGCACAAGTCCTGCGTCGCTATATGTTGACCGGTGAACTGACGCCACGGCGAGGGAAGCAGGCACTTACCGACTTGGCCGACTTTCCGATTATTCGTTACCCGCATGCCCTCTTCCTGTCACGCATTTGGGCGCTTCGTCACAACGTCACTACCTGTGATGCCGCCTACCTGGCTCTCGCAGAATCGCTTCCTGCCCCGAATCTCCTCAATGTAATCGTCGGTGTTTCCCCGCCCGCCGAGAATGGCGCAGACACGGTCCACAGGATGTTCTGCGGCCGGTCGTTTCCGAATGAGCAAGCCCTGCTCGGTGGGCATCATCTCGACCTCGACGTTTGGATTCATCCCGAAGCGGTCCCGCAGGGGTTTGGGGATGGTGATTTGACCACGTTCGGAGATTCGCATGTTTACTCTGATTCTGTCTGTTGCCTGAATGTTCGGACTCCCTTGACATTCAGGCCTGAAAACGGCATAAATAACTCAGTCTCACCTGCCAAGTGTAGGAGGAGCATTCGAAGCCGTCCGGGATTTTCCCGGGCGGCTTCAGCTATTTTTGGTCATCCGCTCAAGCACGATGAAACTCGTCGCGTTCTTGGCGAAGCAGCCTGACCCGGTGAGGTTGGTCGGTGCAATAGGCAGTCTTGAGCAGCCAGTAGTTCTGGGGACGCTCGGAGAGCACTACCAAATTTCTTCACGATACCAAAGCAATGTGTTGATCTCATTCTTCCGGTTATTCTGCCACTCGTCGATTGCGGAATGGGTCAGAGCATTTTCAATTACCCACCGCACCCAGCGGAGGCGCTCGCAGCGGCGCAAGTCAGGTGTACGCTCATCCTCCACCTTGCCTTCCTGAATCAGGTGCCAAAATAATGCCCAGCGCCCGGCCGTCTCAGGCTTATGGGGACAGCTTACTCTTCGGCCGCGAAATCGAAGGCCGGCCCGTGCAATCTCATCTATGAAAATACGGTGCAACTCGTTTTCGTAGCCTCTCCAGTCACCGCCGAAGTCATCAAATAACAAAAGGTCTGGCGGCGTCATCCGCCCGCCTCCCGGGCACGCCAAACCAGGATGTTGAACTTGGTAGAGGCGAAGGATGAGGTACAGGCGAGGGCCTGCGCTCCGAGTCGTTCATGTAGCCGGGCGATGATGGCAGTCTTGGCTCGATTGCCGGTCAGCCCCCGGTTGGCGTATGCCAACGCACCGATCAGGAGGTCGGCTAGTGGCAGGAGTTCACTTTCGTGGGAGCGTATCTGCTGGACCCGTTCGATACATTCCCGGCTGAAATCGTAGAGGCTGTTCGCCAACACGTTGTGCAGTTCCCGCGTTTTCGGGCCGCCTCGCGTGTCTTTCACGTCGAGATAGATACGGTAACGTTGAGGGGCCATAAACACAGGACGCAGCATCGTGAAGTACATTTTGTAATACCAGTCATGGTGTGACTGGTCGAAACGCGCATGATCGAGGTGACTCTTGTCAGGCACGACGAGCCCACGGAATCGCAGGCGCTCGTCGGCAAGGAAGAAATCCGTCAGCGCCAGATAGAAATCCGCTCTGGCTGGTGAGGCCTTGGTCCATTTCGCCTCGAAATCGGATTTGAATCCGTGTTCGACCTTGATTGCCCGTATCCGTTCTGACAGGTCCGGCACAAACTGCTTCTCGCACAACACCGCACCCCAAACCATGACGGGAATACGGTCACGTTCAAGATGGCAACTTTCGTCGCAATAGACGTTGATCGTTTTGATGTCAGCCATGCTCATGATCTCCATCAGCGGCCACTTCCAACGCCTCATGCAACACCGACTCAAGCAACCGCCCCCGCGTTTCGTCTCCCGTGGTAAGGCTCGCTTCCAGCCGGTCGCACAGGGCCATCAGTTCATCGACCTTGGCGACAATGCGGAGTTGCTCGGCGAAGGGTGGAAGGGCTACCGGTATACGATCCATCCTGTTCTTGGGTAAACCACCACGTCCCGCTCCGGTTTGCTCGTCGAATATGAAAGACTGAAAATAGGGAGACCGTATTAACAAATGGACAAAATCCTGCAGGCCGTTTATTGCGACCCGTATTATCGCAACATGTTGGCTAACATTTGCCTCGCAAAACTGATCGGGTACCCGACAACACCGCCCTAGGGATCCCCCTGTGATGTTCAAGAGCAGGTCGGCCGGCCGAACCCCAGTTCCTGACATCTTTTCGTGGGTGGCGGTATCAATATAAGCAACGTCGTCGATACGTAAACCTTCGTCATAAACATTCTGGGACCTCAGAAAGACCACCCCCTCTTGTCGATAAGCATTCCTGCCGCCTCTTGGAGTACTGCCTGAGCCTGTCTTGGAACATATCCCTCCGAGAGTACTCCATGCCCAAACCAACGGGAAGAATGAACGGGACATGAAGCGAATCCGGTACTTGGGCCTCAGTCCTCTTTATCTTCCTTTCTTTCACTGATCTCGCTTTTTCAACCGCAATTTCTCTCAGCAACTCAGACGCCGGTTCATCATTCGGGTCTTGCGGCACCAGCTTCCCGCGTACGGCAAGGTTAAGGATGGTCTGGCGCAGGGCTTTGATCTGGTCGGGGCGGATGGTGAGCGGGGTGAGGTTGTCGAGGGCGAAGGCGGCATCATTCCGAAACGTCGACGGGTCGGGGTCGGGCGCATTGAGGCGGGCGAGGCTTGCCGCGGCCAGCCGGTTGCGGGTGGCTTCGCGCTCTGTCCGTGCGGCTTCCAACCGATCGCACAGGGCCATCAGTTCATCGACTTTGGCGATGATGCGGTGTTGTTCGGCGAGGGGTGGGAGAGGAAACGGCACCCCCGCAACGATCTTCCCCGAGACCTCCCTGAACGTTGTCCCAGGCGCTTTCGCGTCGATTTCAGGGGCAAAACACTGCATGGCAAGGGCGATGAATCGCGAACAATCTGGCACGTAAGGAACAACAGATTTGAATCCTTGATTGGTAGAGATAGGATTCGCGGCAATCGCGACGTAACCGATTGGAGCACGGCTCGTAAAAAGTACGGTTCCTCCTGGCATGAGCGTGGTGGAAGAACTTTGCAGACCCTTCTCAGTTAAATCGCGGGAGCCCCTGGAGATGAATAACTCCGAATGCCTGCCCAGATCTGCGGGAGTCAACCACGGGATACCTTGGCCCGGCTCGGCGAAATTCACTGCCTCATTGGCCGGAGGGGTACCTCCTCCAATAATCGCACCCACGGAATCCAACCTAACCCACTGCCAGGACTGCGGGACTTCGAAAGGAACCGTAAGCGCTTCACCAACACCTAGCTCGCGCGGCTTCCGAATCTCTCCTGCCTTTATCAACTGCGCTTTCGCCGCCGCAATCCGCTTCAACAACTCCGACGCCGGCTCATCGTCCAGGTCCTGTGGCGCCAGCTTCCCCCGAACCGCCAAATCAAGAATGAACCGACGCAGACGTGGAACGGCATCCGGCCCGTCGGCAATGCGGTCGAAGTGCGTAAGCAGGTGTACGGCGTTCATCCCTGCGCCAAACTCGAGCCGATGCTCGGTGTCGGTCAGTTGAATCGAGGTCGCCATGTCCTCCACTCCAGGTGGCAGTGTCTCAGTTCGCATTCCTCCTCACGGTGCAAGCTGAAGGAATTGACGGCGACGACCATCAGACCGGAAGGCCGCGTTCGTCATAACCGATGATCTGTTCGGCACGCCGCCGGTCGCGGCGCGGCAAACCGGCGCAATGCAGGGCAATGTGATCCAGTTCATCGGCAAGCCGGGTGGAACGCTGGGTTTTTTCCACCTGCGCCAGTCTTTCCTGGATGGCCAGTTTGAGAGCTTTGGCCAACGACTCTCCGGTCAGGCTGGCGAGCCGTTTCGCCAAGGCGTGCGTGTCGGGGTCTTTGATGTCCAGTGGCATCGATAAATCCTCCATGGGGCTTTGCACAAAAACCCCGTCCCGCACAACTATGTCCCCACCGAAGGCCGGCATGCCAAGCCGCAACTGCAGACCAGACCTACTCCAAACCGTGATACAATCGCCCAAATCTCTTCACATGGGAGAACCACGCCATGACAAATTGGATTAAAGAGAACAAAACCCCCATCACGGTTGTTGTCTCAGCTGTTGCCACCATTACGGTCGTCCTGGGCGTCATGCTGACGTCCATCAACACCATCCACTACCGGCTCGACGACACCAACCAGCGCTTCAGCGACCTCCGAGCTGAGATGAACCAGCGCTTTGACGCCCAGGACAAGTACATCAACCAGCGTTTTGATGCCCAGGACAAACGGATCGACGACCTTGAAAATGATCTTAAAACCGAGATCAACCTGCGCTTCAACGCCCAGGACCAGCGCCTCGAACGCCTGGAAAACGACGTTTCCGAACTCCACACGCTCATCGTCAGCATCAGAGACCGCGTTTCCCGCAACGAAGGACAGATCAACCTCCTCACACAGCAGCTCAACACCGCGGAAACAAACCCGCGCCCCGAACCAGGAACAACCCTGCCCCCGACAGACTGACCCTGAACTTATCCTCATCGGCTCACTGGACACCACCTTCACGTCTATCGCAACAGCGCCTCGGCCAGAACCGCCTTCAATTGCTCGCGCAGGCTGGCCGCTTCGGTTTCCGCGGCGGCCAGCCTCGACAGCAGTTCTTGCGGGTCGCCGAGATCGTCCTCAGCCGTGTGCGGGTTCTTGACGTCGAGGTTGTAGCCGCGCGCCTTCACGTCTTCGGCCGTCACCTTCCAGGCGCGGTCCGTTTCCTGGCGGCCGGTGCGCTCGGGTCCGCCCCACCAGTCGATGCAGGCTTGCAGGTGTTCCAGGCGGATGGGCCTGGTCATGGAATAGGCTTTCTGGCCGTCGGGCACGCGGTGCTCGTAGAACCAGATGTCCGTGGTCGGCGCACCCTTCTCGAAGAACAGCAGGTTGGTGCCGATGGAGGCATAGGGCCGGAACACCGAGTTGGGCAGGCGGACGAGGGTGTGCAGGTTGCACGTTTCCAGCAGGTGTTCCTTGAGCCGCGTCTTGACGCCCTCGCCGAACAGGGAACCGTCCGGCAGCACGACCGCGGCGCGGCCGCCCGGCTTCAGCAGGCGGATGATAAGGGCCAGGAACAGGTCGGCGGTTTCCTTGGTGCGGAAATGCGTCGGGAAGTTGCTCTCGATGCCGTCTTCTTCCTTGCCGCCGAAGGGCGGGTTGGTCAGCACGACGTCCACCCGGTCCTTCTGCTCCCAACTGATGAAAGGGCGCGCCAGGGTGTTGTCGTGGCGCACGAAGCCGGGGTCTTCGATGCCATGCAGCAGCATGTTGGTGACGCACAGCATGTGCGGCAACTGCTTCTTCTCGACGGCGCGGAGGGCGGCCTGCATCGTTCGTTCGTCCTCGGGCCGCTTGACGTAGCGTTCGCGCATGTGGCGCAGGGCGCAGGTGAGGAAGCCGCCGGTGCCGCAGGCGGGATCGAACAGGATTTCACCGGGCTTGGGGTCGATGCGGTCGGCCATGAAGGCGGTGACGGCACGCGGCGTGTAGTACTCGCCGGCGTTGCCGGCGGATTGCAGATCGTTGAGAATTTGCTCGTAAATGTCGCCGAAGTGCTGGCGCTCGGTCAGGTTGTTGAAGTCGACGTCGTTGATGCGGTTGACCACCTGCCGCATCAGCTGGCCGGACTTCATGTAGTTGTAGGCGTCCTCGAACACGTCGCGCACGACGCGGCGGCGGTCGCCGGGCTGGCCGGTGGTTTGGAGTTGCTTGAGGGCCGGGAACAGCTCGTTGTTGATGAACGCCAGCAGGTCCTCGCCGGTGATGCCCTCGGGATCGGCAGCCCAGGCGCGCCACTGGAAGCGCTCGGGAATCGGGGACGTGTAACCCGTGTGCATCAGTTCCAGTTCCTGGTCCTGATCGTCGATGATCTTGAGGAAGAACATCCAGCACAACTGGCTGATGCGTTGGGCGTCGCCGTCGACGCCGGTGTCCTGGCGCATGACGTTCTGGATAGACTTGACGAGGGTGCGGACGGACATGGGCTAGAGTATCTCCGTATCTGATCGCGTTGTTTGCGTGCCGATGCGCCCCCCCCCACCGGCTCACCTGCGGGCTACGCCCTTGTTTTGCCGACTCCCCCTCAAGTGGGGAGTGATGAATAAGCAGACCATATTGCTCCGGCAACCGCTCTAGGCGGTCTCCTGGTAGAGGGCGTCTTGCAAGTCGTGGACCGCGGCAACGAATTGGTCCCTGCCGCCAAAGGCGTTGATCAACTGCAACGGGGTGCCGAGTTGGTTGAGCGGCGGGATGCGCAGCACCGCGGTATCGTCCAGGTTGAGCAGTCCTTCATCGGCGTATTTGACGAGCAGGGCGTCGAGTACGGCGCGCGCCTGTTCGCCGTACCTGCTGAACACGTCGCGCTTCTTGACGTTGGCGGCGCGCTCGCGGCGGGTCAGCGGCTTGGCATCGAAGGCGACGTGGCAGATGAGGTCGAAAGGATCGAGATCCTTGTTCACTTCCTGGACGATCACGTCGAGCGCCAGACCCTCGCCCGCCAGTTCGTCGATGATCGCCTGCTTGCGCTGCTCGGCCTTCCAGCGTCGCAGGAAATCGTCGAGGCTGGCGAAGCGCTTTTTCAACGCCTTGCGGGTGAAATCGCGCAGGGATTCGGTGACCAGCCTGCCGTACTCGTCGAGGTACTCCACCCGCTCGGCGATGATGGTGGCATCGATGCCGTCCACGTAAACCTTGTGCGTGCTGCCGAGGGGGTACGGCAGGGGGAGGGACGGGTCATGGACGACAACCTCCTCGTCATCGGGTTGCAGCGGTTCCGGTTCGCCGGCATCGTCCGGGGGCGTGATCGGGTCGTCCTCGCCCGGCTCGTAAATCTGCACCGGCTCGCCGTCGAACTCCGGGTCCGCGAAGTGGCTGGTGGCGCCGCGGAAATCCATCAGGGTGAAGTAAAACTTGTGCGTATCCTCGTGCACGCGGGTGCCGCGCCCGACGATCTGCTTGAATTCGGTCATGGAGTTGATTGGGCGGTCGAGCACGATCAGCCGGCAGGTCTGCGCGTCAACACCGGTGGACAGTAACCGCGAGGTGGTGACCAGCACCGGGTACGCCGATTCCGGGTCGATGAAGTTGCCGAGTTCCGCCTGACCTTCGGGGTCGCCGCCGGTGATGCGCATGACGTAGCGGTGGTTGTGGGCCACGAGGTCGGCGTTTTCGTTGACGAGCGCCTGACGCATGCGGGCGGCGTGTTCCCGGTCGACGCAGAAGATGATCGTCTTCTGGAAGCGGTCGCCGCTTTCCTTGAGGAATTCGGTGACCTTGCGGGCGACAAGGTTGGTGCGGCCGTCCAGCACCAGATTGCGGTCGAAGTCCTTGGCGTTGTAGATGCGGTCGTCGACTTCTTCTCCGCGGCGGTCGAGCTGGCCCTTTTCGGGACGGTAGCCTTCCACGTCGCGGTCGACGTGGACCTTGATGACTTTGTATGGGGCGAGAAAGCCGTCGCGGATGCCTTGCTTCAGGGAATAGGTGTAGACGGGCTCGCCAAAGTAATGGATGTTGGAAACGTATCGCGTTTCCCTGGGTGTGGCGGTCAGGCCGATCTGCGTGGCGGTGCTGAAGTATTCGAGGATTTCCCGTCAGGCCGAATCCTCGGCGGCGCTGCCGCGGTGGCACTCGTCGACCACGATGAGGTCGAAGAAGGTGGGCGAGAACTCGCGGAAAAGCTTCTGGTGTTCTTCGGGGCCGGTGATGGCCTGATAAAGACCGAGGTAGATTTCGTAGGCGGTGTCGATGCGGCGCTTCTTGTTGGCGGCGGTGCCAATCGTCGAGCCGTCTTCACGTTCGATGGTTCCGGCGTGGGTCGAGAGCTTGGCCATGGCCGGGCCAAAGGGCCGGAAGTCGTTGACCATCGTCTGATCGACCAGGACGTTGCGGTCGGCCAGGAACAGGATGCGCTTCTTGCGGCCCGCCTTCCACAGCCGCCAGATGATCTGAAATGCGGTGTAGGTCTTGCCGGTTCCGGTCGCCATGACGAGAAGAACGCGGTCGCGGCCCTTGGCGATGGCCTCGATGGCGGCGTTGATGGCGCTCACCTGATAGTAGCGCGGCGCCTTGCCGCTGCCGTCCTCGAAGTATTCCTGCAGGACGACGGCCTCGGTTTCGGGGGTCAGGCTCTTCCAGGCGCGGAAGCGCGCCCACAGGTCGGCCGGTGGCGGAAAGGCATCGAGGGTGAGGGTCGTTTCCGGGGTGGCGCTGGCGCCGGTGCGGTCGTGGAAGACGAAGCCGTCGCCGTTGGAGGAAAACACGAAGGGGATGTCGAGGGTGACGGCGTAATCGAGCGCCTGCTGCATGCCGTCGCCGATGGCGTGATTGTTGTCTTTGGCCTCGATCAGTGCGATGGGGATGTTGGGCTTGTAGTAGAGAATGTAATCGGCCCGCTTGCCCTTGCCGCGGCTGACCAGCTTGCCGCGCACGATGATGCGGCCCTTGGTGAAGCTGACCTCCTCGCGGATTTGCGTCATCCCGTCCCATCCGGCACGGCACAGGGCCGGCGTGATGAACTTGGTGCAGATGTCGCGTTCGCTGAGGCTTTTCTTGTCCATCCGGGTCGACCTCTCACCTTTGCGGCCGGTGCCCCTACCTACACCTCCACAAATTCCGTGGAAGTCTGCGGCTCCGGTATTGGGGTCCCGTCTTCCCGCAAGCCATCAAGATGAAAAGCAACTGCCTCTCTTATATCGTGGGAGACCTCCTCCCGTGTCTTGCCCGTGGCCACGCAGCCCGGCAAGTCAGGCACATAAGCCGAGTAGTTATTGGTTGCCTTTTCAACAACCACCGCGTATTTCATTGTTCACTTCTCGTCAATCCGGCCTGCTTCAAAATGCTGTTCCACGTGCCCGGTGCCAAGTCTTCGTTCTGATGCCCCGGAATTCGTCACCCGTCCTGCCTTGAGCGGATGCTTGTCTTGCCGGTGACTTCCTCGAACCCGAACCAGGTGTCAACCGTCCCGTTGTATCAACAAGACGGCGTCCCGTACCTTGGGCATGCTGTTGCTCGAATGCCGCGCGCCGAGCTGCGGAGAGTGACGGGAGCGGGTGTCTCAAGCCGTCAGGAATTGCGGTGCCTATTCAGTCCCGCCCGGATCGAACCCCAGCGCCCGTTCCGGCTCGTGCACGTGCATGAGGAAGATTTTCCATTCGCCGTCCTGGCGCAGCAGCGTGTAGGTGGCGGCGCCCTGATGGAGCAATTCGCCCGTGCCCTTGACGCGGTTGAACACGGTGCTGACGAGGGCGGTGTCGTCGCTCATCGGCTGCACGTTCACGGACACCCATTCGGTGTGGTCATAGCCGCGGTGATTGAGGGTGCGCTTCCACCTGCGCACGGTGCGGCGAATCTTCTCAGAGGTCTCGAACTCGGTGACCACGCCGTGCGGCGCCAGCAGGTACAGGGGAGCATGATGCAGGGAGGCGATGTAACGGGAGGATTTGTTGTCGAAGCTGTCGAGGTAATGGTTCATGAAGGCCAGGACGTCGTCCCTGGTATCCGCCTGGGCGGCCACCGTGCATATCAGGACAACCGCCAGAGCCAGCAATTGCATCGTGCGAAAAGCGATGCGCGCCCGGTGCCCGTCGGTCATTCTTTTCCACCTCCATACAAAAAAACGGGAGAAGGAGCCCGATTAAGCCCCTTCTCCCGTTGGTCTTAGGTCAAATCAGCGCCTTACGGCAACTCGAAGACCCACACAACACCACCCTGCGGAACCTGCTCGGAGTAATCCGGAATTTCCAGGCGCAGGATGTCCTGCTTGCGTTCCGCGTCAACGCCCCAGCCCGACTGCACGGCGACGTACTGCTTGTCGCCCAGCATGTAGGTGCTCGGCGGAGCGGTGATACCCGAGTTGGTCGGGTACTGCCACAACATGGCGCCGGACGCCGCGTCGTAGGCACGGAACATGCGGTCGTTGGTGCCGCCGGCGAACAGCAGGCCGCCGCCGGTGGACAGGATCGGACCCCAGTTGTGGTGCTTGAAGGTGTGCTTCCACACTTCATTCTTGTTGCCCACGTCCCAGGCCTGGATTTCACCGATGTGATCCCAGCCTTCGCGCAGGTAGAAGCCCTCGACGAGCTCCGGAATGTCTACGCCGAGCCACAGCTCACCCGCAACGTATTCCGACTCGTTGCCGGACATGGTGCTGCAGATGTTCTCGTTGGCCGGGATGTAGAGCAGGCCGCTGACCGGGCTGTACGACGGATACGGCCAGTCCTTGCCGCCCCACAGGGAGGGGCAGAACGGCGCGCTCACGTTCGTCTTCGGCCAGTGGGCGTCATCATAGGTGAAGCGCCCGGTCTCGGGATCGATGGCGGTGACCACGTCGTTGTACACGTAGTTCCACGCATCCACGAACGCGATGGGACCTTCCGGGGAGGGTTCCAGCACGAAGATGTGGCCGTTACGGGCTACGTTGACGAGGGCCTTGAAGGTACGGCCGCCGAAGGTGAGGTCGGTCAGGACCGGCGGGGAAACCTCATCCCAGTCCCAGGAATCGTTCCAGTGGTACTGGTGGTGGCCGATGATCTGGCCGCTTTCGAGGTTCAGGGCGATGACGGAGGTGGTGTACAGGTTATCCAGGCTACCACGCCGGTCGCCTGCCCACGGTGCGCCGTTGCCGATGCCCCAATAGACGATGCCGGTCTCGGCATCGAAAATGCCGGTGCTCCAGGCCGAGCCGCCGCCCGTTTGCCAGGAGTCAGCCGTCCAGGTCTCATGGCCCGGCTCGCCAGGGGCGGGGATCGTGTAAGTACGCCACGCCTGGGTGCCGTCGGCCACATTGTAGGCCGCTACGTAGCCGCGAATACCGAACTCGCCGCCGGACACGCCAACGAGCACTTTGCCCTGGGCGGTCAGGGGCGCCAGGGTCATGTAGTAACCCTTCTGGTAGTCGTCTACCGCGACTTCCCAGGCCACTTCGCCGGTCTTGGCATTGAGCGCTACCAGGAAGCAATCCGTGGTGGCCACGAACACCTGGTCGCCGTACAGGCCGGGGCCGCGATTGGTCGGGTGGATTTCCACCAGATCCTCGGGCTTCTCACGTTTGTAGCGCCACAACTGCGTGCCGGTCGCCGCGTCGAGGGCGATCACCTGGTTGCTCGGCGTGGTGACGAACATGACGCCGTCGTTGACGACTGGCGGTGCCTGGTGGCCTTCCACCACACCGGTCGAGAACATCCACGACGGCTTCAGGCCCGCCACGTTGCCGGTATTGATCTGATCCAGGGGGCTGTGCATCCAGCCCTCGTAGTTGCCGCGAATTTGCAGCCAGTTGCCCGGCTCGGGGTTGGCCAGCCGCGCGTCCGTTACGCTACTGTAGTTGTCGATCTGTGCCGCAGCGGTAAACGCCATGGCCAAGCTGACCATGAAGGCGACCGCGATGGCCGTAAAAGTTCTTTTGGACATAATCCCTCCTTGAAGAGTGAAATCGTTCCCCAACACGGGAACGTTCTTGCTTTCTTGCGATGCCAGACAGCATAGCCGCTGGCCCTGCTGCTGGCAATGAAAAAAACCGCTGCGTGGCTTGACGAAGCGCAGGGTCCCAACGGGCCGCAAGGTGCCCGAGGCTCGGTTTACATCGGTTCGGCAAGTTCGTAGAGTAACAAGTTTTGTTGGCCTGCCCATGATTCTCGACTCACAACGGAGGCAAGACACGCGATGCAGCACAGCGCTGCGGTACGGAGGCCCCCCGCCGGCAAGTGGATCATTGCCGGCACCGTGGTTCTGGGCTCGTTCGTATCGGTAATGGATATCAGCATCGTCAACGTGGCGATGCCGCAAATGCTCAGCACCTTCGGCGTGTCTCTGGACGCCATCACCTGGGTGGCGGTGGCCTACAGCATCTCCGAGATCATCCTCGTCACCATGGCCGCCTGGCTCAGCACCCTGATGGGCCGCAAGCGCTTCTTCGTCTTCTCCTTCATCCTGTTCACCGCCGCCTCCCTGCTGTGCGGCCTCGCCCGTTCCCTCGAAATGATGATCCTGGCGCGCATTCTGCAAGGCGTCGGCGGCGGCGGGCTCATACCGGTATCGCAGGCCATCATGCTGGAGACCTTCCCGGAGGAAGAGCGCGGCATGGCGATGGCCCTGTTTGCCACCGGCGTGTCCATTGCGCCGGCGGTCGGCCCGGTGCTGGGCGGCTGGCTGACCGATCAATACGGCTGGCCGTGGATTTTCTACATCAACCTGCCGCTGGGGGTCCTCGGCGTCGGCCTGTCGATACTCGTCCTTGCCGATCCGCCGCATTTGCAGCGTACCCTGGCGCGCATCGACGTGCCGGGCATCGTCCTGCTGGCAGTGGGTCTGACGGCCCTGCAGCTGTTCCTGGAACGCGGCGAGCGCGAGCAGTGGTTCGCCTCGTCATACATTGTGACGCTAGCCGTGGTCGCCGGGGTCTGCCTGGCGGTGCTGGTGGTGTGGGAACTGTACGCCGAGGAGCCGGTCATTCACCTGCGGCTGCTCAAGAACGTGCCCTTCAGCGCCGGCATCGGCCTGGGGTTCCTGTTCGGCATCACCCTGTTCGGCAGCATCTTTGTACTGCCCCTGTTCCTGCAGCGCCTGCAGGGCTATTCGGTGATGGATTCGGGGTTGCTGCAGTTGCCGCGCGCACTGATCATGCTGGTGGTCACGCCGATAGCCGGACGGCTCTACAACTCGGTGGACAGCCGCCTGCTGATCAGCTTCGGCGTGCTGTTGATGATGGTGGGATACCTGGAAATGTCGGGCTTCGCGCTGGACATGAACTGGACGCACATGATGACCGGCTTTCTGCTGACCGGGGCCGGCATGTCGTTCATGTTCGGGCCGATGTCGGCGGTCGTCATGCGCACCGTGCCGATTCGCTCCCTCACCGCCGCCAGCAGTCTTTACACCCTCGGGCGCCGGGTCGGCGGCAACGTCGGCTACGCCTTCGTGGCCAGCCAGGTGGATCACCGCGCCGCGTTTCACCGCGCCCGCTTGGCAGATCACGTGACCCCCTACCACGCCAGTGTGAATCAGATGCTTGATGGACTCACCGGGCGGCTCGCCAGCGGCCCCGGACTGGCGCCGGGAACGGCGGAAAGCGGCGCGTTGCAATTACTGAACGGCACCGTGACCCGCCACGCCGCCATGATGGCCTACAACGACGTGTTCTGGATGATGGGCATGCTGTTCATTCTGACCATCCCGTTCCTGCTGATGCTCAGCCGCGGCAGCGGGCACGGCGCGCAGGCCCGCAAGAAGGCGGGACAACGGGGGTAAGGAAGTCATCCGACGGTGAGCGATTTCAACTGGACGGCCAACACCTTCTTGCGCCCGCCCTTGCCGAACGCCTCGTCGAATTCCTTGATCAATCCCTGGATGGCCTCGGAATTGACCGCCTTCTGCATCGCTTCGTAGGTCTCGAACTCGTACATCGTCATAAACCGATACTCGTCCTCGCCTTCCATGATCTGGTAGCGCCGCCCGCTGACCACGCCGGGAAAGCGTTCCAGCGCCTTGGGCAGATGGTCCTCGTTGTACCAGCGGTTAAACGCCTCCTCCGCCTCCGGCTTCACCTTCGCCATGACGATGA